TGTTGAGAGATCTTTAATATTGGTCTTTATAGAAAAAAAAAAAAAAAAAAAAAAAAAAAAAAAAAAAAAAAAAAAAAAAAAAAAAAAACAAGAAAAAAACCATAAAAAAGCCTGGGCTAAAACCCTGAGGTAGAGCTGGCTTTTATGAAATGATACTCAGCATTGTGAAATTATATTTCAATATTTTTTGAAGAAACTGCCTCTTTTAAAAATGCAAATCTTTCAGACTAGAAAAGGTGTCAGTATGAAACTATTTGACCATGTTGATGTTCAACACTTCTTAAAAAAAAAAAAAAAATATTTTAATGAGTCCCAGGTAGCCCTGAATTACTATGCTTTGAATATGTTCAAATAACAGCCTTAATGAAGTCCATGGTGTATGCTTTGGGTTTGGCTTTTGTTTAGCTGTATCGTTAAAAACAGGCTCCAGAACCTTATTTTTGTTATATTCTCAGCTTATGTAAGACAATAAATACTTTTAATGAAAACTTGCTAGATCTACGGAGTACTTTGTACCTCCAAATAGGTAAAACAGCCAGGAAAGATCCTGCCACGGCTTAGGAACTTTGCTGGGGTTTTATAGATCAGAGAAAAGGAGGGGGTTGGGGCTGGTCTGTGCAACCACCTTAAAGGATCAGACCTAAACTCACTTCAGGGCTGAAGGGTTCTGCAAGATTAATCGAAGCTGGAGAGTGATCGCTTCTTTCAAAAGGTAGGAAACTTCAGTGATAGAAAAATCCTGAGCTTGGAATAGCTAGTAATTCCCACCTCTATAGATGGGAAATCTTCTCTCTGCCCTACTATTTGCTATTATATTTAAGTAAGTTGTTTAGAGACCCTTTCCTGTGTTGTTTGTCCTGGTGCCAGTATTTTTCACGCTTTCAGTTGCTCACCTTGCATGACTTTTAAGGGCTAAAAGCTGCATTTCCCCCTTAGAGCATGGGATGGGGAGAAGCATCCCTCTTGCAGCAGCCTTTAGGACCCTCCCTGCCTCTCTTACTGGATGAAAAGCAACTTCTGGCTGCTGGAGCACTTAAACATCCAGGGCGTGAGGTAAAACCTGATTAAAAGCACAGCACTGTGGAAAACGCAGGGGGGTTAAAGCAGCATCTACCTCTTTAACTATTAGAGGAGACTCCTGAAGAGCTGGGGCTAAAAGTCAACGTATATTAAGAAATGGCTTTTTTTTAAAGAGGACGGGTTGTTTTTGTGGGTAGTGATGGTGGGTTTCCCCCTCGCTCAGGGCTCTGTGCTGGCGCTGCATGGCCTGGTGAGAGTTAACGCGGGCGGCGCCGCGTCTCCATTGGTGCCGGCTCCGTTCCGCTCGTTCGGMGCTGCGGTGTCCGGCATGCGCTGCCCGCTGCCAGCCCTGCTCTGCCTGCTCGGCATGGGCGCCGCAGCCGAGGATGCACCTGCGGCGGAGCCCTGGTGCCCCTACAAGGTGCATGGCGCGGGGAGCGGGCGCCTGTGCTTCCGTGCGCCGGCGCATGCCTTCCAGTGCGCAGCGCAGGCCTGCCGCGCGCACCGCTCACCCGGCGGCGCGCTCGTGGCCAACGTGCTGCGCAATGGCAGCGTGCTGCTGCAGTGGGCGCCACCGTGGGGGCCCAGCGGCCTGCGCGGCTTCACGCTCAACTGCTCCTGGGACGGCACCTACACGCGCTTCCCGTGTGAGAGCGTGGAGCTGGGCGCCGCGTGCCGCGACTACCTGCTGCATGAGGCGCACGGCGGCGTGCGCTACCGCGTGTGCATGCAGGCACGCTATGGGGCGCCGCACACCGCCGCTGCCGCGCACTGTGTGGAGTTCCGCGTGGAGCCCGCCGCCATGCGGGACATCGTCATCGCCATGACTGCCGTGGGCGGCTCCATCTGCGTCATGCTCGTCTTCATTTGCCTTCTCGTGGCCTACATCACCGAGAACCTCATGAGCCCGGCTGCTGCCACGCGGCATGCATAGGGACTGGCTGCCGTGGGGGTTCCGTGGGGACATGGGGCTCCGTGGGGACAAGGGCTCCTTGGCGAGTGGGACAGGGATGGCTCCCGTTGCCGTCCATCTCCAGTTTATGGGCTAGACCGCTCCTGGCAATACGTCCAACTTGGGCTTCCGCATCTCCTCAGTGTCCCTAGAAGGACCTTCTGGGCTGCTTCGCCCAGTTCATCTCCCCAGCTTCTGGTTGTCTTCAACTGGTTGTCTTCAAACTCCCAGGATTTGTGTTTTCCCTGTATTCAGAGCTCTTCCAGCATTCCTGCCTGAGCTATGCCTGATTTCTGGACTCACGAGTGGATTAAAAGTTTTAAAGAAAAGGCAAATATCCATCTGGAGTGTCAGCAAAATGCTTTGAAAACAAGCTGCAAATCCTACAAGGGCTGGTTTGGGAAGACCCTCAAGAACATGCCTGATTTTAAAGCCTATTAAATCTGCTCAGTCTAGACGTGTACTCGAGTGTATTCCCAAGGCTGGGACGCTGTTTCGCATCTTTGTGAGAGAAGCAGATCTGCAAAATTGCAAAACTTGTCTCTTGATGCAAAACCCACCTACATCCCCCTGACACAGGTGGGTTTTGTATCGTGCAGTTGCTGTCTGTAAGTTCAGAGACCTACTTGGTTTCTGAACCTAATCTTTAATTATAAAATGATAGTTATAAATGAACACCATCAATTCCCCTAAAAATCTTTTTTCTTTTCTTTTAGGAATGCTTTGTGCAAGCTGTACTAAGCTAGAAATATCTTACACACAGACTCACTGATGTGGTAGCCTAGGGTTTTGAACACAGGAACATTCATTGAACTACTCAATACTGTAGTCAAAGAAGATTTTAGCCATACTCTAGTATTAATTCTCTTGTGCCTTAGTGTTGAGAATTTGTCCCATTTATAAGGATATATGTGTTCTTGTAGTCATAGACAACTCTATCTCCTCTGGTGTTTTTGTCTCTGGAACTTGTGTTTTTGTTTTGAAAACAAACTTAGGATTATGCTACTTGAACTTTAATATATATATATAAACCAGAGTCAGTTACCTACTTACTGTATCTGAGTTTTCATTAGTGCTCTTTGTACATAGTTGACTGCAGTAATAGATCATGACGTTATATCACATTAAACATACACAAAGCAAAAATAGGGGAAGAGCAACTCTTCTGTAGCAGGGTATTGCTATTCAAATACTGCAGTTTCACACGTGATTTTTCTGTGTAAATGTTTATTATTGGCGAATGACCAGTGTCTTACAGTTTTTCTCTGGTAGCTCGTGAAATATTACTTTGTTATTGGAGGGAAAATATAGAAAGTATTTGCAATCTTTAATAAAAGGCAGTATTTGTACTAATTGTATGAGCACAGCTCTACTGCAGGTGACAACTTTTATTCTTTCTCTATGGTATGATTCTTGTCTCACAGATTTATTTTCCTTGTGATTTCCATAACTTGAGAGTTGTTGAGACACCAAAAGTCTATCTTCCATCAGGCAGAAATAGCTGTTTATTGTTCTCTCTCTGTTTTCCTTCTCATATGCAGCTGATTTTGAATTGAAAGTGTTCTCCTTTTGTTTACTTACCTGTATACTTGATTTATGTAGCCTGGCAATATTCAGAATTGTAGCTGTGGAATGACAGTGTCATTCACTGACAATGAAGGACAATGACTCTTTTTTTAACTCTAAGGAGATGGACTGCTTGAAAAACAAACAAAAAAAGCAATCAGTTTTTAAGAACATAAAGACAATTTATATCTAGTGGTTTAACTCTGTGAATTTACAAACAGTAGATTTGGAGCAAAGGTGTTGTAAAGGTTTCAAGTCAATCTTTCCTGTGGCTGGTTCTGCTCAGGATAGTGGCACTGATACTGTATAGCTCTGTCAACCCCTGTCACGAATGTTACTGTTCTGTTCTTCATTTGCCATGAATTACCAAATATAAAAATTAAACGTGTAACTAAAGAGCCCTGTAACACTTTGGCATTAACCTGAATCATTTAAATGAATAATAAAAGAAAAAGTCACAAATATTTCAGGGTTCGAGATCTTGTTTGAGTGGCTCACAAAGAAACTCTGTTGAAAGGCTGATCTTGTGTTGCCTAATGTAAACTTATCACAACATTAATGGGAAAATGGAAATAGAGTTATTCTCCAAATGTGCGTAAAGTTGAGATTGAACATAAGATAATTCTGGTTGGAAGAGACCTGTCCAAGCACGGAGACTGCACAACCCCTCTGGGGCACCCTTTCCATTGCCTGAATGTCAGGGTACTGTCCATAACCATAGAAAGAAAGAGTTTAATTCTAGAGACATCATCTGGTACAGTCTAAAATATCACAATCAAGCAGAGGGGGCCACTGTACCTACGACAGGTAGCTCATGCTCTAAACATCCAACAGTAAGGGGAAAAGATTTGCAATTACTCAAGGTAATCCTTTCAGTCTTTCAGCTATAATAAGCCTGACTTGTAACTTTCTATGAAAACTTGATAAGCCAAAATATTTAATAATGGTAGCTAAGTGTCTTTTGCCTCTGAATTAATCCCTTTTTGTCCTTCCAATGAGCTGCCTTTAGCTCTCAGATGTCTTTAACTCTTTGATTACTTTATCTTATGTACAGCCTGAACTCTAAATTGCAGTAGTGTGATGCAAATCTAAGAAGCTGAATGCCAGATTTAATTTAGAGATTGCGTATTAATATTTTGAACAAGACACCTCTATAGGTATTGGTAGGATGCAGCTATGAGCTGAAACAGCACCTTTTCTATCTGCTAGAGAGTAATTTGCAGTCATGTCACATCTTCATGCATCTGCTTCTGTGGATTGCATTGCAACAGCATGTTGGGCAGAGGATAGACAAATAAGAGCAGAAGATGTAGAACAAGAATGTAAATCCTCCAGGAGAAAATTCTATAACTCTCTAAACAATTATTTTTATCAATGTTGTTTTATTTCAATACATTGTATATGGGATGTGGAAAACAATATCTCATAGCTTCTGATTTGTTTCCAGTGGATGAAATCATAATTAAATACAACTTGGAGTCTAGAAAAGAAAATCAGAACATTCCCTATTCTATGTGATATGAAGCAAAACATCGATCAACCTACTGATAACTGGTAATTTAGATTTTTTTTCCTCTGTCATGAATACAGATTTTTTTTTTCAGCAAATAAGGAAGAGAATGACATGTACAAAGACTTGATATTAATTTGACCCTGACAAACTGCTGGGCAAGACTGCACAGTTAAATAAAGCTTTATCTGGTATTTCCAGCAATTCCCAAAACACGCAGAGTACATTGTAGGAATATATGTACAGTTATCAGTAAGAAAATCAGCAGCATGCTGATTTATAGCTCCCAAGAAGCTGAATATTATATGGCTAATGCTTTGGGAAAAAGTAGCAATATTGTCTTAGGCAAATATGAATTCCCCCTATTATTAGACAAGTACATGTGTATCAAAAATCCAAAAGCCACACTTTGAGTTTATTGCGTCTGCGGTTTATTTTATTTTCAATACAATACCAAGCACTCCCCACTTTTGCAGGAATTAAAGAGTGATCTGCTTGCTAATGAGTTTATTTTTATTTTTTCTTGCTCTATGCTGAATATGAGGAGAATACTGATTAAACGTAAGCAGCTCGAGCTCAGCCTGACCCCACTTTTGAGGCTTCTGGAGGAAGCAGTCTGTGCTTCCGGCAAAGATGGTGTCTCTTCTAAGTCCCTTAGTATTTTTCTGTGCTACATGAAAGGAAAGGTTGCTCAGCTCTGTTTGGAGGTGCAAGTGAAGGCTGGAATTTTGCTTCCATAGAGACCTGGGGTTTGTGGTTCTACAAGGCACCAGGTTGCTTTATTTCACCAGAGTCTTCCGGAAGAAAGGCTAGGAAGAGTGGGCGGAAAGGAGGAAAAGTCTCGAATCACAGTTAATTTTGTCACGTTCCTGGTAAAGGCTCCATAGTATAGCAGTGCTGCTTGGACAAGGTCTCTTAGCTTAAGCAAATACAATTTTCCTTGTTCATCCATGCAGGCTTCCTGTCGTCTTTGCTTGGCTTCTGGTTTATTGAGATGGACCATTCTTGAGCTTGGAGAAGGTGAACCTTGAATACCAACACATCCTCCAGTTCCAAGGGATTTGGGTCCCCAAGGAGGGTGAAGTCCGTTCTCCTGAAGGTTGTGATGCTGCTGGAGGCGGGACGAGCTGAGGGGGATGGAGGGGTTTTGTGGGAAGCATGGACAGGAGAAGGGCTAAAGCTTTAGGTGGGAAATGATGAGGTGATAGAGGGGAGTTTGGTGCAAAAGAAGCGCGAAAGGGAGAGAAAATTTTGTGCCAATCCTGAGGAGTTGATACCTCAGTGTCCTGATCTTGTCTCCTGCCTGCCTCCTGGTGCCTCTTCCCTGGTCCTGCAGAGCAGAAATGGGGAAGGGAAGTTTTGGAGACGGAAAGACTTGTGAGGTCATGGGGAGACGCACGGGGCAGCACCCAAGAGTCGTCACAAGAGGGCGAGCGCCTCACAGCTTGCTAATGGGCCTGCTCTCCTAATGAGTTGATTATTAAATATACACACAGCTTGTTGTATGGGAGCTTTTGATCAAAAGTTAAATGATTCCTCTTAACAGAGCGGGGGAAATCAGTGACTGGCAGGGCTCAAATACTGAAGAAGGAGCATTGCCTTGATGTGCTCACCACATGAAGAACATTGGTTTTTTTTCCACTCTATTTCAGATAGTTTTGAAGCTAAAACTTGGATTGAGATCTTCCATCAAGCTTTGAGTAGCTGGCAGTTAAACCAGCCCTAAAACATAAATTCATGGGTCGTTTTCAGCTACACCAGCTGGCAGATGCAGTTCTGGACGGCCATAGGACACCAGGTAACCTTAGCTGTGCAAAGAGAAGAGCTCAGTTAATTCATAAAATAATTAGTTGCACTGAGAGCAGAGTAAATGTGACCTTAGATACTGAAATAATTAAACTGAATTTTGTTTTCAAGGGAGAGAGGCTGTTGGGAGGATGAAGTGGCATTTTCTTTGTCAGATAACTGGGAAGATTGTGCTGCTCCTTCATATCTCTGAAGAATGCTGGCTCCATCAGAGGAGGATCAAAAGGTCAGAAAAGCCTCATGTTGCCATTGAGGAGCACCTTGCCAGGCACTTAATCAAGAGAGTCACAGCACAGCAAACAACGGAAGGACACGCTTTCCTTCCATCCATCATCAGAGCGAAGGCAACTGTGGAAAGATGGAGAATGGATTTGGGGAACAGATCCACTGCAACCAGGCTGAGATCTATCCATACATTTGTGGTGGCCATTTCGTCAGCTGGCATTGGATTTGAGCTGATGACCTGGCTGCTTGTCAGCTTGGCTCCCGCTCAGCATTACTTGATTTCCTTCAAGGTGAAACATGTAGAAACTATCCCAAAGGACATGGAACTTTGCTAGGAAGACTGGGATTTGACACCGGTTTGATACCCAGGCCAACACAGCTTTGAGTTGCACAAGTTTGGAACACAAGAGGCAGAGATCCTTGGTATTTTCCTTCCTTTGGCCCATTTTGGGTGCACACCTAGAGGCAGAATGCAACCTGACCTGCTTGCTGCTTTGGAAAACACTGTTGTCCTACTTATGTAACTGAGGGAACCCTTAGGAAATGGCAGATACTTGAAGCCCCAGAGAAGAAAAGGCCACGTTCACATTTGGCAACCTGTTCTGCCCATGGACTCATCCCTGAAGCAGCTAAAAACTGTATTTTCCCCACAATGTACCTTTAACTGACATGAAACCACTGAAAATTGTGGTTTAACTAATGGTCATAGTAGGTGCTCACACACCAGCCCCGCTGACTATACCTTGACTATTGCAAGTGGAATGATCTGCCTGCACGAGGAAGCCTTTATGGAATCAGCCTGTGTCTCTGTCACCTGCTGCTGTGGCTGGGCACGTCATTGACTACGTGCTGATTCTGTCTCCGAGAAGCACATTTAGGGCTGGGATTGCGTGATGGGAATTTCTAGGATACTCATGGATTTGTGGATTTCAACGTACATTTAGGCACTGTAATGTGCTAGGGAAAAGCATGTGCTCCACAAAGGAATGATGGGGAAAGCTGGAACTGCCCCTTGTTCTGTGGCATGGTAGTGATGAGGGACAACCATGGGGACAGATCCGTGCCATCCATTTATGCTCTGAAAGCCAACAATGTCATTCTTTGCATGGTACTGTTTGGAAGCGGCTCGAGCCAGCGAGAAGGCTCTGTTTTGTGGTTTATTTGGCGACTGCATGAGCTCCTTCCTGCTATGGGGTTAAGCCGGAAGACCTGGGCTTCAGCTTGGGCCTCAAAAATCCCTGAAAATAGATCGATTCCTGACGAACATCACGTCAGCCCGGGAGCTGGGCAGTCGGCGGCTCTTCAACCACACGGTTTGGTTGTCGCATTGCACAGAAGGCGAGTGGCAAAGAGCAGGCAGCTGCCACGACAGCCGGGATCGGGATCCGCCGGGATCGGGATCCGCCGGGATCGGGATCCGCCAGGGGCGGCGCTCGCGCGCTCCCTCTCTATGGCTGCAGCCGCTCCTTCCCGCTGGCGCGCTCTCTGTGGCCGTGAGGCTCCACCCCCTCAGCGCGCTCGCTGATTGGCTGCGGCGCCACCCGGCTTGACACGCCCCGGGGCGCCGCCCTCCTGCCGCCATTTTGTGCGAGGCGCAGCCGGGCTGCCCGGGCGGCCGTCATGCCGTCCTCGCCGCTTCGTGTGGCCGTCGTGTGCTCCAGCAACCAGAACCGCAGCATGGAGGCGCACAACATCCTCAGGTAACCGGCGCCCGAGTCAAGGCTGCGGGCGTCGCCCTCCTGCGCTCGCCATGGAGCTGTCAGGGCAGTTCGAGGCCTACCTGGGGCCTGCGCATCAACCCGCGGGGCCTTGAGGCTTCGTCTCCTCCCGTGTCCACGCTCCTGGTGACCTTGCACCAGGCCCAGGTGGTCGCTGTGATGAACTCTGTGCCATGGGTGCCAGTGGGCCCAGAGATCCATGTAAAGCAAGAGCTAGAGGTTTCCCCAGGCAGACACCTCTCCTGCGTCCTGCCAACTTCAAAATTTAGTTTTAATTGGAGTCATCTAGGTGGAATGGGAACCTTTTCCTGTTTGAGGAAAAAATGGGTGAAGTTTTGGATTAAAAACCTACATATGGGGAGATTTGGGTCATGGGAGAGACCTGAGGAGACAGAAAACACAGCCCGGAGTTTTTCTTGTGCTCATCAGGGATGTGATAAATATTTTTGTCTGAAGCCTTGCACGGCGATACTTCTTTGAAAAAGAGGGCCAGTGTTATAAGCACAGTACGTCAAAAACTTAAGTGTAAATTGTGTGCTGCATTTAGGGAAAAAATAGGTAAACAAAAGAACAAGTAATAGAAATATCTAGTCTGGCAGCTGTCTTACAGTAAGTAGAATGTGTTGCTGTTAAAACTTGGGGCTCTGCATCATATTTTAGCTTTGTGAGCAGTGTGTTCCTGATGCTGAAGATTACGTTTCAGAGTTAACCCTCTAGTCTGTGTAGTGTTGGCGTGCTTGCAAGCTTTATTTAAATTTTTTTTTTTTTCTTGTAGATACGTTCTCTGAGTAGTTTTATGAGTCTTTATGCCACTCTTCAATTTATGGGGGAAAACATCTATCCATAAGGCAAACTTAGTTTKCTTGAAACGCTTTAGGGCTATATAATAGCTTCTAAATCTTAAACTAAATTGCCTTTAAAAGTAGAAGTGATTCACAGAAATCTCTGAGTATGATCTTGAGGCATATGTCAAAAATAAAACGTAGCTATCACACTTTAACATCTAGATGGAATACTTGACTTTACAAGGTAGTTGTTTGTGGAAGCACCTCTAGTTCATCCCTTCTTGGTTTTGTGTTTCTTCCTATAGTGTTATCTTAGCTATTTTCTTTTTTTTTAAGTATATGAAATTTATGAAGTGTTTTAAACAGGCATTTGAACAAGCATTGAACTTGTCCTTCGTATTTACTGTAATATTTAGGTCTTTGCTGCCACTTGTGCCCCAGGAAAACACTTGTTCTGAGCCTGATCAGTCTGCTGACTTCTGGTGTTAGGTTGGTTCAGCACTAGGTTCTTTTTACTGTAGTAACCTGGTGTATTTTCTTACTAACCACTTTTAAACACTTTGTTACTGTTGTAATCTTCCAAAAGGAGTTAGATTCAAAGTCTTTGGATTTTTTTTGTAATAGAACAGTTGCTTTCACTATTGCTGCTTGTGGTTTGAAACATTGGAGTTAGGAATAGAAGGAAATAAGCAGGAGCTTGATGAAATATTTTGGCTTGGGCTGCAGACCTCAAATAGTTTTAAGTGTTTATTGTGCAACATATTTATATGAGTATTGTTTACACGTGTGCTCCCCTGCCCCAGTCTGTTAGTTATTGAAGTAATTTGCTGAGGCAAACTTGTACAGAATGAGAGAATAGCTACAGTTAAAAAGATGATTCTACCATTACAAGATAATATTTGGAAGCCTGTGCATAGATAATTATTAGTATAAAGTATGTGGACTTGATTCTTCAGGGTATGAAGAGGAAGGTAGAAGGGATACACACCCTTCGCACCAGGTATTGTGGTATAGCAGCTCACACACTCTTGCTTTTGTGTATTTGATAGCATCCTGATGTCCCCTAAAAAGGAAATTAAATTCACCATTTTGTGCAATATTTTGTATTTTTTATAGGCCAAGAAGCACTTATATTGTCTTGTAGTAAATATGCATTGTGAAAAAACTGCAGCACATACTTGAGAACAGCTTTTGCTGACTCACTAAGCAGAGGTTGTCCAGCTGCCCAACAGAAACAGGCTCAGTAGAAAGGAGTTCAATGCAGACAGCCTTTATTCCCCTTAGAAGTGTTTCAACACACTCTTTGTAACAGTATTTCATCATACTACACCAGATTGCATGACTAATGTTAAAGCTGTGACCTGGGAACTTTCAATGTTGAAGGATGAAATTCCATGTAAGATGCACTTTCTGACCATTCAAAGAAATAATTTTCAGTGGGTTAAATGTATCATTGCCACAAATTCTAATGCGAGAAACTGCAAATGAAGGTTTCTGTGATTTGCCTGAAATTAGGCAGACTTCAAAGGCTGTTCAGACAATTGAAGGTGGACTTTTCATGTGCAGCATCATTCTCTGAAGAAAATGTAATTATGAAGCCTTATGCAATAAGGACGTGCTGAGCGTGCTTTCATGGACATTACAATATGCTTTAATTAGTGGCATAGTGGTTGAGACAGGATTCTGTAATTAAGTGGTCTTTCCATTAAAAAAAAACTAAAAAAAGAGGGATGTGAAGGGGAAAACAGCAATTTACTGCTACTGTAAAACTGCAGGCATTCCATCTGGGAGTTCTCTCTTTCTCACCAAAGTCAGTTTTGGATTGAAAACCCCAGAATGTTTGGACCATTAGCAAGATTAGACTTTTTTTTTTTCCCTCCCAAAAAAAGGTCTTTGTTGCTCAGTCTTAACCAAAAGCATATAATTTCTAAGGTAATTTTTTTGCAGAGATGGTTCATATTTGTGCAGTGTATTTTGTGCTGCTTGCTTTTCATTTCAGGCCCATAATATCTGTATGATGTTCCTTATGCGTTAGACTCCATTTCACACACAAAAATGTTTTAACTATTTTTCTTGAAGGAAGAGAAGGAAAGAGTGAAGCTTTAATTTTCATATATTAGTTATGTTCCCGCCCTACATTGGCTTCTGTGCTAATGTGTCATTTCTTTCTCTTTAGTCTTGTGGTCTTTTGCTGCGTAGTACAAGCACAAGAACAAGGTTTAGACAGTTTATTAGGAGCTGCTAATTTGGCCTACAGTTTTGGAAGTGATGTGGGGCGGAACCATCTACTTGATGCTAGTTACTTTAAATACTTTTAAAGCATTTAAGCATCTGATGCTAAACTGAATCTTTTTATTTTGTGTCACTTAGTTATCTGAGTTGAAGAATGTGCTCTGCCTAACTTTAGATTTCTGTTTGCAAACCTTCTGTACTGTGAATATTGTGTTTCATGTTTTAACAGATTAGCTGAAATTTTTTGAAAGCACAATCGGTTGTGATTTAGTCGATTGCTGAGAGGTGTTTGTACATTCAGTATATGTTTTTTAGCACGACAGTGTTTAAAGTACATCTCATCTAACTGCATTCCCCCCTCTCCCTTGTCTGTCTTTCAGCAAACGAGGATTCAGTGTCCGATCCTTTGGAACAGGGACTCACGTGAAACTGCCAGGACCAGCACCGGACAAGCCGAATGTTTACGATTTCAAAACAACATACGATCAGATGTACAATGATCTGCTTAGGAAAGACAAAGAACTGTATCCCCATGGCATGCCCTTTTTAAAAAAAATCGAATATGGTTCATCTTTGAAAGGTGTAATTCTTTTTTTCTTTTTTTTCTTTTTTTTTTTTTTGTGGTAGGAATGTATAGTTGTTTGACAGTTTCAGTGTTTTAAGGTTGTAGCAGTTTATCTACAATATGAACATCTAATGGTCCCTTTGTAAATTACTGCTGAGTTACAATGCATGCGTTCAAAGTGCCCTTTTTGCAATATATTAACATATTAAGCTCTTGGAATGAAAACATATTAATATTACCACATTTTGTCCTTTACCTGTACTGCACTGTGGATCACAGCTGCCTAGTGCAAAGAGTGCYAAGAGCTGTGACCACAAGATTAAAATTGTATTTGGTTCAGTCAAAGTGCCAGGTAAAGTTTACAAGATACTTCAGCTGGGAGAGAGGATATATTTCATGAAGGAATCCACTCTTCTTACTGAGGATGTCTTGGTACATAACTTGATTTCTACACCCAAAAAAAAGGCTTTTAGTATATTTTAGGAAACAGGAATATTTTAAGGACATAAGGAAGCCTAATAAAGTATGTAATCCAAGAGCAGAGGTGATGAAGATTGTGTACTACTTAATTTGACATCAGTAATTATTTCATGTGGTTTGGAAACATACATACTTAAAGCTGACTTTTTGTACTTGCTGTACAAATTTGGGGGACTAATTTGAGGTACTCTTATCATGGACTTTTTTTTTTAGTGAATGATATGAAAGAGAAATTTTTGATTTGTAGTGAACATATTATTTGGAATATGCTGAATTTCTATTGAAAAAGATAGTGGACTCTTTAGAATGAAGTATCCCAGAAATTAGAGTCTTGGCACCCAGCTCAGTTGAGGTAGATTTATTTTTTTTATTTATTTTTTTTCTCTTTATTTTTTGAGAGCATTACATCAGAGTTGGTGGGTATGTAAACATTGCCTCCTGCAGGGCAGGATGGCCTGCTCTTCTGCAAGGCTTTGGGTTTAATGGTAATGGGGAAGCAAGAAAAGGCTTGCTGCTTCTTCCCATTTTGTTTATTCTTCTGTTCCCTGGCCTTGCTTTCATCAGCTGAGTGAAGATGACTCGTCTCTAGCCCTTCCTCGTGGTCTCAAATAATGCTTCCTGGTGATAACTGTCAGCTTTTTCTGTGCAGCAGTGATGGGACACACGCATTTCAGTGCTCAACATCCAGTGCTGCCTCATTTAGGAGTGATTTTTCTTCTTCTGGTCCTGTAGTCCGGTAGGTTTTGAGGTATTATGAACACTAGGAACTTGGTGATACAGCCCTTACTGGCTGTGAGGGATTTGGCACATTCTGTATTGACCAGTCAAGGGAATGACATGTGCTTTGGAAAGCAGCAATCTTGACCAGATAGGAGATTCTGCAGTGCTGGACACTAGTCAGGGGGTTATTTAAAAAAATGCATTTTAGGCCAGAACCAGAAATGCATTTAGGATGCCAATTCAAACAATCTTGCAGGTTGAAAACCACTCGGTCTTTATTCCATCTGAAGGCAATAATCCTGGATTAAGTCAATAAGAAATAAAAGTCATGAGATAAAATTGAAAAGGAACTGCCATAAGACACCTCTTAATAAAGCAAAGTTTTTGAGCATGCAGAATGTGGAGCTAATCCATATTTAGAGCTACTGCTTCCCCCCCCCTCCCCCCCCAGTTAGGTGCAGCATGTATTACCTTTGTATCAGTAGTAGAGTTGGTTTGTTACAGCCTTGGTATTAATTCTGTAGAATTCCTGGATATATGTAATCAAGTTCTGGGAATGCCCCTCTCTTCCACTGATCAGTTTACTCTTACTATTTACTCTTATTTTTTAAGACTGGAGTAAGCTGATGCAAAAAAAGACTGTTTATAGGTAATAGTTTTATTCTTTGTAAACCTGGTAAGTAAGGGACCATGTGTAAGATGGTTTGTATGTTTTTATTGCAAGATGATTTTCTGATATAGTTCATCTAAAGTAAAAATCACAGAACTCTTTCTCAGTGCTCTCTCTCTCTTAAATAACTTGGTTATGGTTGTGTTGTCCCCCTTTATAAATAGTCTTCAGTTGGGCATAGACTTCTGTTTACTGGAGGATGTGGTATCAAATAATACTTTGGGTCTTTTTTCTCAGCCATGTTTTCCCACTTCTCCTTTCTCTGCCCTTTTTAGGGTACCCTAATATATATGTATATATACTTTTTTTTCCTTGTGTGTGTATATATATATTTCTGTGGCTTTGATTTCAGGTTCAAGTACTTCAAGTTCAAACTCACAGTTCTATCTGAAATAATTCAGGTACCTTTTTCTGTCAGGAAGTATCAAGATGCTGATTATTAAGCTCTTCCTTGGGGGACTTCTGAGAGATTACTGGATTAGAGCTAATGTGTTGCATTTTGCAGTTCTTCTGTATTAGTCTTTCCATATTTAGCTCCCATCTCAGCAATTTTGTTTCTGTCAGACAGTAAAGTTTTGCAATGAGGTGTTTTTGGAGAGCCTTGTGTCTGTGCTCAACTGTAATTAAGATTGCGCCTGCTTACCCCACAGTGGTTTTATTTCTCACTTACAACCTGGAAAGTAAAAACACCTTTTGCTTTTTAACCATGTAAATAGTTTTGCAATTAAAATAACATGGCTATTAAATAGCTGATATCTCAGGAGCTCTGAATTTATTCATGGCTTCAGTCCTTTCATTTTAGAGCTCAAATTAATGTCTGCTTTTTCAGGGAAAAAATGTAAGCTGGGAATGGATAATTATAGTAGAAGTGCTGTGGATAAAATCTTTTTCTATGAAATGAGGTCAGTTGTCAGTTTTCTCATTAACCAAGCAAAAAGAACCAGGTTATAGTTGCCATAGAAGATTCCCAAGGAAAAGAAAAGGTGCTGCACAAAGCAGTATAGTAAGCAGTTATTTTCCTTTTGGAAATATTTAATTGAAATCAATTTTGAATCTTCTTGTATGTCATGTGCAAAAAGGAATTGCTGTCTTGTTTTTCCTCCCTCTTCATTTCTGATTTTTTTTCTTGTATTTTTAGCTAAGTTATGTTCATCAACCTTGTCAGAGCTGAAGTGTTGTGTAGTGAGATGAGTGATGCCCACTGGATTCCTGGCAGCGATAGGATTTTTCTTTATTGTTTTTTTTAGCCATATTTTTTCAACTAGTATTAATTGCAAGACATTGAAGTCTTTGTGCCTGACTCCTGAAATACTTGCATCATTTCTCATGGATCTAAAGAAAGATGCATATTCAGCACATCTTTAACCACTTCCATTTTTCTCTGTCCTTAGTTCAAATTTAAAAAAAATAAATAAAAGGAGGAGGTCATGATTCTGGTAGAAGATGGTTGGGCAGGTGTCCCCCCAGTTTCCCCTCCACTCAAATTTCTAATTTTAACTTTTGTCCAGCAGGCTGTGGTACAGCATACATTGTTTTTGCTTCTAGTACACATAATAATAAGCAATTAAAATGATACAAGGAGAAGGGATATGCAAATGCAATTCAGACAAGTATGTTTGAGTATTCTGCTCTGCTGCTATTTTTCACAAGGAAGAATTGCAGTATTCGTGTGAGCATGAAGACAGTTGCACCTCATTAATTGCTTGCATGTCAACTTTCTTGGAAGATGTAAAAGTCTTAGGGTATCAGCCATTGCTTTAGAAAGGTTATTTCCTAAAAAATATATACATTTTAGTAAATATAACTTACCAAATTATATTTAATAAATTATTCTCCATTACATTTTAGAAGACTATGTAATTAAATATACTGAAGAACTTTCAGCTCAGTTCTGAGTTTTATTTTCAATTTAATCTTCCTGGAATTAAGATAGAACAGATCAAATACTTCAGCCGGTTATGAGACCATTTTTTTAAGCTGTACAAAAACTTAACTAAAATAGGTCGATATACAGGTATGTAAATCTGTAGTACTCTCTAAACTAGGTACCTTGATGTGACCTAGTCAGAGAAAAGAATATTCAGAGGTTGTTTTTTAATTGGTGGGGAGGAGGGTAGGACAGTTAAAACAGCAGCCAAGCTACAGATGTGACAGCTTGTTTTGCACTGACTGAGGAAAGTTTTTCTCCTATTGGATGACCTTAGCTGTCGGTGTTTACTTAGTCTTCTAAACCTGCATGATTGAATTCCATCCAACTTTCCTCTTAAGGAAAGTACTTCTGTAAGTAAATTGTCTGCGGTGATTGTCTCCACAATAAATGCAGCTCTCTAAACTCGTAGTGGTAAGAAATGAAAACAAAGAACAGTTTTGCAGATTTTTGAAATACGAATGCCTCAAAATCTGCAATTTAAGTAGCTAACTATGATCATCATTCCTGCCTATCCATCTCTGAAGAGTAAGCTCTAAGGTTGCACTGCTGTTGAAGCATTCCTGCTGGATTAATAGATCATTCTGATTCCAGTTGTACAGTGAGCTCTACAAAACAATAATCCAGTGGGAAACGACCTGTTCGGTGAGGTAGTAATTTCTTCTGCTTTTTTGTATGTTCTGCTCTGATTGAGTCTGTTTTATTGTCTTCTCAGTCTGTTGTTCAGAGGATTGCAGTCTTGGTCAAGTACCTCAAAAACTAGAGGCCCCATTATCATAGCCACTGGGAAAAAGAATCAGCTGAATTTATTCCCAGTGAAGTTGTAGCCGTTCTGGGGTCTGCCCTGAGGAAAGCAGCACTGAGCCTGTACTTTGGCATGTAGTGAGTGTCTGCTATTGCACAGTGTGCCTCTTTTACCCTTTAACTCTCATCTTTGAGTTTATCAATTTCTGGTGCTTTTCTCTGCTAATTTTCTCCTCTTCCCATTTTTTTTTTTAAAGTCAGCCGCAGATCTAGATTCTCTAAACATAAACCTTATACTTTCTGTGCAGTCTAGTTGTTTTCTGTACCTTGTATCTTGCTATATGCTTTGTGCCCTAACCAGAATATCTGCTATTTAATGCAAATAAAACTTTTTTTGTTTACATAACTTTGTTTTCTTTGGGACAAAAATGCTCGAGATGCAGACAGTTCTTTTACCATGTTTTCTTTCTGAGCTTGCTTTCCTCTTGCTGTCCCCTTGTGGCTCTTTCTGGAAGGGTATTTCATGTGAAACATGGACATTTGAGCACTTTCAGATATTTATGTTACAAGGTTGGGTTAGGTGTCATGATGCATAGATAGAGATTTATGTTTAATGGGGCCAGGGGTGGAACTTGGTGTTGGTGGTGAAATCTGATGCATTTCTGTATTAATGCAAAGGATTTTGTACTTTCAGGTGCTAGGAGTTCACTTTAACATTGTGCACATTGCATGTGCTGGGCATTAATCTCAGTTTGTAGCTGCATCTTACCAGGATACACACAAGGGTACTATCTATCCCTGCACTATCCTAACTAGATTCTGCTGTTTAGTTTAAAAAGCAGAATGTCTAGACTCTCTTAAAGTCTTAATAGACAGAAACTCCCAGTTATTCTAGAGGTCTTTTTTCACCAATTATAATTGAAAGGAAGTATGCAGGAAGGTGTGCCTACGTTTTTTTGTCATTGCCTTGCTGTGATTTTTTTTGATAGTACCTGTTATAACACCAATCATTCAATCATTGGTAGTTTTATTTTGTGAGTATTTTTTTGACTGATTTTTACTCTGTCCATCACTTTTTAATTCCTTACTCAGCTCACCTCTGACAGGTGATCACAATGTGAAGTTCTGTGGATAACTACTACTGAAAAAGTACATACAGTTTCGGGCATGGGAAGGTTTTTTTTAAAATGGTTTTCTACCAAAGCTCTTCGAAAATTATATCCAGAAATACCTGTTTCAAGTCTATAAGGATCCAATTTGAGGAATAGCAGCAGTAGGAATTTTATTAAATGTCACATTAAGGTCTCCCAGCAACTTTGCTGCCCTGTTTGACTGCAGAAGAAATACCGTCAGCAAAACACAAAGTTGCACGTTTTTGAAGGCATCTTTAAATGTGGGGGTGATGTATGTGAAGTGGAAAAGTAGTGTTCTGGGATAGGAAAACTTGGGAAATTCAATATAAAGATTGCACATTCGGGGAAGTGGGAGTAAAGGAATTGCCCTAGAGCTGTATATGAAGGCTAATATTAAAAGCAAACAAGAAAACACCGCTCCTCATTACTTTATGGATATTTTCCCATATACTAGTTTCACCTTAGCCAAATCTATTCCCAGTTACTAGCAAGACTTATTCATATATATGAGAACAAGAATTTGTAATTTGAAGGACATTCCAATAGAGGAAGTTTGGAGAGCTGAAAATCTATCTGCTGCCTTTCCTGGTGTTTAAATACAAGTTGCTTATAGAGAGTTAGAAGAAGCTGAGCCAGAAGGGGTTCAGCTGCAAACCCTGGATAAGGGAAAATGCCGAGGCCTTAAGAAGCACTTCGGAAATGGCTGAGTTCTGGGGTCTGCTTCACACCCAACCAAGGAGTTGGATGGTTGTGTTGAAGGACAGTCAGTGGATTCATCCAAGCCTGAGAAACCTCAGGAAGGTTTTGGAGGTGCTTATGAGGTAACACTGGGCTATGAGGGCACTTTTGTAATTGCATAGGGGGAAGCTTTTTTGAGGAAAGTGGGTGGCAAAATGGGAGTGACCTGAAGAAAAGCGTAAGAGTGAAAATCAATCAACTGGTAGAGGGTTGGTGGCATGTGTTTATGATACAAAAAGAATCCCAAATAGAAACTTGTTTAGTTCTAGTTGAAATTGAATGCTGCAGGTATATCATAAATAATAGACCCAAACTTTTTTCCTGTAAAAAGTACATATATAGGTACATATATAAGTAGAAAGATGACATCATTTTTAATGTACTCTTTTAAGAGGGGGCTTGTGCTTAAAAAGTTGAGACTGACTTAAATTGTGCAATGCATAGACTTGCAGTTTTTGCAGTTTTTAAGCAAGGAAGAGAAATCCATTTCTGGGATTTCTTTGATTCAAACTTTCTTGTGTTATTAATCTACTCCTAAGACTTTGCCTTCAGACTGAGCTTGGCTTCAGTTGAAACAGCTCTTGAAAAATCAAGTTGACAGTCACTTAAACCTGTTCTTAAGAGCGGTTGTTGTATTGAAACTGCATAGATTGTCCTGATTGGGGTCATACTGCTACCTTAGGAACTTTTGTATTGGTCACTAATCTTCGTATTTGCAAAGGAAAAAAAATCTCATATTAGTTTTTTGTCCTAATAAATTGCATCTTTAACTTGAAAATTTATACTGACTATTTTCTCAAAAACATGACTCTTTTTTGAAGTAAAAATACTTAACTCAAGCAACTTCAGATACACACAGAATGGGATTTTACACATGTTGGACAGAAATAAGAGAATCAAGCCACGACCAGAAAGATTCCAGAACTGCAAAGATATTTTTGATTTGATTCTAACATGTGAAGAAAGAGTCTATGATCAAGTAGTAGAAGGTAAGGACTTGAATTGATTAATCAAGTTAACTTCTAGGTGCTCTTCCTTTCCAAATCCTTCACAAATCTGGAGATCTCTGTTTGCTTTGACTGGTGAAAGAAGTCACAGTCAACAGGCCTGGACTTTATATATCAAAGAGGGGGCTGAATGCTTGTTTATGAGAAGCTATGGTTGGTAGTTACCCCAAGCCTGTGGGCACAGCAATTTCAAGGGCTGAGAAGCTTGTTTTCTTGGAAAATTCCTATGGATTTAGAGAACTAGCAAATTGTATGCGACTGAGCAGCCAGTCAGCTGGTTGTTCCAATTTATGATCTGAGGAAGAGTCAATGGGACCTACCAAGCACTTTACTCACAGGAAAAACTTCCTATACAGGTGAAGAACCTGTTCTTGAGGTGGGTAACTCTGCAAATGGGCCAGGGTTTTGTCTAACTGAGCCAAAGTGCAAGAATTTGTTGTCTATTGGGGGAATGCAAATAGTGCATCAGGCCTCTGAGCTCACCAAAAGTAGTGGGGTTTGAGCAATGACTCCATCAGCTCCTGGGCTAGAGTCCAGCCTACTGCTAGAAGTGCTGGCTTTGGACTTAGTGACTTAAGTGAGGCTTAGGGTGTTTTTTCTTTTAGGGTGTTTTTTCTTTTATATTCAAAGGACAGCCAAATCGATTAGTGTCTCACATGTAATACAAATGTCTAACATATAATACAAATGCCCAGTCCTCTGTGGGCATCTCTCAAGCAATATAGGCCACTGCCCATCTGTTTTTTTTTTGAAAGCTGGACGCTTCGTGTTCTGAATGTTAAAGGGAACTGCTTGAAATGTATGGAGGAATTCTGAGAGTAACTGCCCTGGGCATTGAGTAAATCTTGAATAATTTGAGCATGCCCTGCTGAGAAAGCAGCTCCCACCCTTGCAATTCAAGACTGTTCAATGTTCTGAGGATGGCAGATGAAGAGCAACCACTTGCTGGTGGCTCAGTTCTGCCTCTCCCTTTGTGGTAATGCTCCTCAGAAATGGCCAATGCAAGGAAGAAAGTTTAAATGCTCCCAAGAGGTGCTTGATGTGAAAGATGAGATTTTAAAATGCGGTCTTTGAGTGGTTTTGCCAAGTTGAAGTTGCAGAATGAGGATAGGAAAAAAATGTGTGTGTCTTAACATAGTTGTAATGGGTTATATTACAGACAGGCCTAATAGTAATACAGAGGTGGTTTAGTGGAAAAGGGTATTTTGTTTTATTTTTTTCTCCCCTTCACCTGTCATAAGTGAAACATTAAAACTGGATTTGTCAAGTGTGACTAGCAGTGCTTCATTTGTAGGAGTTCACGTTGCAATTTAAAGTGTGGATACACAGTGCTTTTCAAAAAACATACCTAAAAACTCTTTGTGTGGAGGCCCCAAATCATTCCTTCCCTCCCAGAAAATAAAAGCACAAAACAACCCCTCTCTTTTTGAAAGGGACTTTTTTTAGGGGAGGAAAAGCAAAACAAAAAAGACTTCTAAAACCAAGTTTGAAGAAGGTAAAAGTGGATGATTACTGTGACAGCTGTGTAAAACCTGATACCCTTCCACCCAAAACGTTGCTTTTCTGTGTGTTTTGTTTCCGACTAGATTTAAATTCCAGGGAGCAGGAGACATGTCAGCCAGTGCATGTGATCAATGTGGACATTCAGGATAATCACGAGGAGGCCACTCTTGGTGCTTTCCTTATCTGTGAGCTCTGCCAGTGTGTAAGTAGAGAGGTTCCACTGCCTGTCACCACCAAGCTGCAGGAGACTGGGGAGTTCCAAGGTGGGCCCTGCATATACTGCATCTAGCACAAGCTGTTCAGCAGTTTCCTGGTGGTTCTGTGTGGTTGCCCCTCAGGAGGGGGGTTGTGTCAGAGTTCCTGATCTTGGAAGCGGATCTTGTGTCCAAGGGCTGTCAGCCACCGAGGGTTGCGAGAGGTTGAACGTAACCATTACGCACGTTGAGCCCCTATCTGAAACATCCCTGTGTGGCAGAAATGGCCCCTTCAAAGGCAGTTTTAAGATGCACAACTTGCACATTAGGGTTGCTTTCTGGTTCCTGACATACTTGGAAAGCAACCTGTGTAGGTGTACACAGCTACAGTGTAGGTACCACCCTGTGTGTGTGTGTGTGTGTGTGGTACAGGGGGGAAAAAGCACCATCACCATCAGTGCTCCTGGCACTGGGCCTTGCAGGAGGGTCTGAAAGAAGCTGGACTTGAAATACTGACTGTGACTGCCATTAGAGAGGGAGGCATCTTTGTCGTTCCAGGAGGACAACTCGCCTTGTCCAGGGTGACCAGATCTTGGGAGGGCTTGAGGGGCTTCACATTTTAGCCATCTGCTCAGCTGCCCTAGTTGGGACGAGTGGTCCATGCTCAACAAAAGCCTCAATGTGCTCAAGTGGCAGGGCAATGGGTTGGAGGAKGAGGAATCCACGAGCGAACAGGGCACAAAACAGCTGTAGCTTCAGGAACACCGGGAAAGTGACCCCAACCCCCTGGGGCAGCACTGCCTGAGACCGGCTGCCAGCCTGGAATCTTGTGGGAGACCCAAAACGCAGCATCGCTGCCTTACCCATGAGCTGCTTCGAGTCCTTGGAGCCCCCTTACTGAAGCAGTGTTTTTTCTCTTCCAGATACAGCACACAGAAGACATGGAAAACGAAATAGATGAGCTCTTACAGGAATTTGAAGAGAAAAGTGGAAGGACTTTTCTTCATACTGTCTGCTTTTATTAAAGCACATCTGTCTCTTAGGCCTTAATACAGATGAAAGAAGCATGTGTTTAACGTTCTGATTATACTGTATTTTCCTGGAAAGTGAATGCTGTTTTGTTTTCATTTTTTCTTTGTGTTTTTTTTTTTTTTGTTATTGATTTTCTTTTTTGTTTTGTTTCAGGTATTCTGCCACAGGCAGGCAGAAATACTGGTTACCTTGTATATATTAAGTGATTAAAGGTATACAGAAAGACCATCTATTTAAAAAAAATCAAGATTTTCTTTAAATCCTACTTTAATTCTTATAAGTAGGTTTTTTAATTATAAAGAGAATGTTTCTTGAATATGTTTATAATGTATTTTTCCAGCTTACAAGTTTATTTTATTTCTTTTTTTTTAATGTAATGAATGGCTGGGCTATGTGAAGATATGAGTGGAAAAATGAAAATGAGTATCTGTATATTATTAGATTTAAAATTTGAAGCATCCAATAAAAGATGAAAATCTGTAGTTTTGTCTCTTGTTTTAAGACTGGAAGTTAAGCTGCGGTGCTTGTGCCCTGCAAGGTGAAACACACAGTACCTGGAGGGTCCCCGAGGTGCTCGCTCGCCCATGCTGGCTGCTGAGGATGACAGTGATGCTGGGGGAGTTCACAGGACCTGCACTCTGGAAGCTGTCAGGAAAGTTGCATATTTGGGTGAATTTAGGTTTTTGGTCCTGCGTTGAGCTCAAGTGATCTGCTTTCTTGTTTGATTACCTTTGTATTAACTTTTATGTGAGATTTAAAACAAATTAATCTCCTAGTATTAAGACAATTTAAGTTCTAGCGTATCCTAAATCAGTCTTCTTTTTTTTCTGAGTTTAGTCATCGAACTCTGCAGAACTTGGAGTGCATCAAGTATCTTGTTCTATGGCAATACTACTTGACCTTTTTCTGTGAGCACAAGTATTAGAGGGGATTTCTCTTCCATGCCCAAATACTCCAAGCCCGCATCTGTGAGCAGTTCTGAGCAGTCACGATGCAAATCTTGGCTGAAACAGGTCCTGAAAGAAATTCTGTGGCAGTCTCTGGAACCTGGGGCTGACCGTGGCTTGAGCTGCCTTGTAGGAACCCCCTGTCCTTGTCTTGTAGGAAGTGGAACTTGCAAGGAACAGGGAAGTTCCTTGTAGGAACACTGCCCTTGTCTGTAAAATAGTGGAGAAACTTCCAGGGACAATGAGAACATGAGAACAGCTGGAGGATGGAGAGTCCATGGGCTACTTCAGGGTGTGTGTTCTGGTTCTCTCGCCCTGTTTCATTCTGTTTCTGGAGCCTTTTTGAAGAATTTGGTTCTGCTTCCTCCTCCTCCTGGGGCTGTGATATTGTAGCTTGTTACCTTGGGGACTGTTTTGTACCCATTTTGTTATAGCAAGATTGTATTTTACATGTATTATAGTCTGGCCAACTGGCCTCTAGTGTGGATTAACTAGGAGAACTTCCTAAGTTCTCTGCCAAGACCTTCTTAATGCTTCTTCTCCGCCTCGGTGTTTGCAGAGCCCCAAGGCTCAGAGCAGCCCTGGCCCCTGCTCGCTTCTGTTTAAACTCTGATTTTCTTTTGCACAAAGTCCTTTCTGTGTCTATTTTCTCTGGTGCATTTCTTGGCTTGCTCAGGACCTTCAAAATACTCAATGAACTGTTTATCAGAGATATCGGCATCCTGCCTTTCAAATAGATTTATATAAATAAATAAGTGATTAAAGAGCGATGTCTTAAATACCTGGTGTCTCTATCTCCGCTTGCTGCCGCCTTCACTTTCCTGCACAGCTCCCTGGCCACAGCCGTGGGGATTGGCCAGCACCAGACGTTCCTCGGCCCTGCCGCAGCTTTCAATATTTGCTGGATCTAACTGGGCAAAGATCAATGATCCTGGCTGGATTTCCCCACCAGGGCAGCCTAATGAATTTGTTGCCAGGCAGAATATCCACTTTCAACTCCTATTGCTCAGCAGTCTGATGGATGTTTGGGGTAGTTTGTCCCGTCCGTCTGTCCTTGTCCAGCTCCAGCCTCATCCTCAAAGGCCAAGGAGGACCACAGCTCATCAGACCTATGCTGAGAAACCCAATATTTAGGGTTTGTTTTAAAAAAGAAACAAACAACAACAAAAAAAAAAGTCATGCACTGTGTGCTCTAATTTGAGAACACCATTTAGTGATTTTAATTGTGTGGCAGTATATTGGTATTTTCAATAGCTGGTAGTAGGTTAATGACTATTCCTTGAAGAATGGAGTTTATATAACACTGGTCCTTACATAAGGAGGCTGAGTGGGGCCTGAGGAGCAGGAGGAAAACAAACATGCAGGAATTCAATGCCCGAACAAGCCCATCTGTGTGACAGCCCCGGGCAGCCTCAGGAATAAGTGATATGTGGGCGGCACCAAGGTGACGATGACCTTGAAGAAGGCCAAGGAGTGTGGGGCGAAAGCACCGTGTATTGACAGGGCATAACCAGCAGCTTGGAAAGTACCATCAGCTCCCGCACAGTTGAACGTCCAGGTTGGATAGTTGGAATTAAAAATAAAAAATAAAGTAAAATAAAATAATAAAAGACATTTATTGCCTCTCTCTCTCTCTTTTTTTTTTTTTTTTTGTTTTTTTGTTTTGTTTTGTTTTGTTTTCTTTTTCCTTTCTTTTTTTTCCCAGAGCGCCTCTGGGTGACCTGGGCTGGACTGACCAGATAACTCAGTGGCATAAAACCATGGGAGAGCTTGGAGTGCAATCTCATTTGGGCCTTAAATTTCAGGTTTGATAGATCAGATTAAGATATACAGGATTTTTTTTTTTTCTTTTTTTCCTGCCAAAACATAGTGTCTGTGGATGCAGCTCTGCATTGCTCCAGCTTTCCTTAGAGGGACAAGCCCTGGGCCCACATGCGTATGGCAGAAAGGGGAATCACTCCCAGTTTTCTTGTCATTGTGCCCAGAAAGAAGATGAGGTCCCATTGTCCGGACCCTCCTCAGGTGCCCATTAGGGCACCTGCCGGGAGAGGGGGCGTTTGGGGCAGGATGGACCTGGGCCAGGACCCGCTTGGAAAAGAGACCCTCATTTGTGGAGGCCGTGGGGGTCACCGCACACCCATGTCCCCACATGGGCTGGTGTTGGGCTGAGTACAGCAGCCTCCCTGTCCCCAGCGGGAAGGTGGGATGGGGGAGAGATGCGGCCTCAAAATGCTGTCTGGAAACGCGGTCAGGTCCCGCTGCCGGGGCTGTGCCGGGGAAACGCGGCCAGGGCATCTCCGCAGAGCGGCCGCCGCCGCCGCTGTCGCCGCCGCTGTCGCCGCTCGCCATGCGCCCCTCCCGGAGCGGCGCCTCCCTGCGTAGGTAACAGCCCGGGGCGGGCGGGGGGGCCGGCGCTGCCCGGCGCCTCTCGCCGCTGCATCGCGCCTCCCTCCGCGCGCCGAGCGGGGCCCTGCGGCGCCGGGCCGGGCGCGGGGGCTGCTCGGGGCCGCCCGCGGACTCCACTCCGTTCCCGCACCGATCGGGGCGGCGGGCGGCGGGGGCAGCGGGTTTTTTTTTCGGGGGAGGGTCGGGCCAGAGGATGCAACGAGGCTGCCCCGCACTAGGTGATTCGCAGCCTCCCTCCGCCGCCCTCCCCCGCTCGGCCGGCATCGCGGATCGTTCCCGTTGCTGCATGAAGGGCTCCGCTCGGGGCGGCGTGCGCGGCTCCCGGGGACGCGGCGCACCCGGTGGGGCGGCCAGCCCGGGGCGGGGGGGCTGCTATTATTATTCCTATTTTTTAACGTGTCACGTTTTATTAAAAATAATAATAATAATAATAATAAGCGGGCGAGGCGAGGGAGCTCGACTCCCCCCCCCCCCCCCCCGGGTGTGTGTGCACGCGGGGGGCGCCCCGCGGCCCCCCCGGCACCGCAGCGATGCGGCCGCGCTGAGCGCTGCGCAGTAGCGCGAGCTGCGGAGCCGGCCGCCGTGAGTCCCCCCGGACGTCCATGAATGCAAACACCATGATCTTCATGATCCTGGGCGCCTCTGTCGTTATGGTAAGAGATCTTTTGTTTTTTTTCTTTATTTATTTATATAAATACATATTTTTGCTTATTATCCCTGCTTGCCTCCCCCCYGCTGCTCTCCCATAGCCTGGCACCTGTGTGTGCGGGGCCGTGTGCGCATCCCCGAGCACCAAAGATTGTTTTTCTTTAATGATCGCTCCGGTCGCTGGCAACCCAACTCGAGCCAATGTTTTATTCCATCCCCCGGCGCTGACCCGATGCCTCTGTTCGGGACTCTTACAGGCAATCGCTTGCTTGATGGACATGAATGCGCTGCTGGACCGGTTTCACAATTACATCTTACCGCATCTGCGAGGGGAGGACCGAGTTTGTCACTGCAACTGTGGGAGGTGAGTGACCCCCCGCGTTCGCCTATTCCCCGTGCCCTCCCCATGCATCTCGATGGGGACTGGCCCTGGCTTCAGCATTCTGGCTGTGTCGCACCTGCCTCGGCAGCCTGTGCATCAATAGGGGTTGTTTTTCTGGGAGAGGAGTTTGTTGTGGGCCTGAAGTCCATTTTTCCTGGTGTCCCTGTGAGCCCTTGCAAGGAGGGAAACTTTCATTCCTACACTTGTGGTTTTGTCTCTGGGATCACCAGTCCGTGTGTGTTTGTGGGTGTTGTGGTTAGTGGTCATGTAGCTTAATGAGAACGGGCTCTTCCCTCTGGTCCAGAAATGTTGTTCTGGAGGACAGGGCCGCATTCAGGTTTTGTGAGCTCTGAGCAGCTTTTATTCTTCACAAGTCTTCTCCAAGAGTGGTGCCAGACATGGCACTTTTGGTATCTGGTTGTGGAGCATTCAGCAAGCAGGGGGCATCATGGTGGGGGTTATGGGCTGAGTTTGCTGGGTACAAGTTCATGGCTCTGGCTGCTCTCTGAGCTGAAGGCTCAGCTCCGGGAAAGGGGATTTCTCTCTTCTCCCTAGGCTTGTTGTCAGCAGAAGCCTTATTCCTGAGCCTTGTTCCCCACTGAGAAACAATCCCAGCTGTGCCAAGGCCAAGGTGGGCTGTGAAAAACTTAACGAAGGGGAAGCACTTTCTCCTGCCACTCTCTGCCTCTTTCCCCAAGGATAACCATTATCCATCTTCCTACTGTCCCACTCTGCTTCCCATGGAAAACCCTGAACCCCCAGGGCCAAATGCTGCCAAACAGAGAGTGATCCATCAGGATCTTCAACATCTGCTTCCTGGGGCACCTCGGCCTATTGGGATGAGTGTGGACAAGCAATGCGTTTCACAGCATCTTTGACTTTGTAGCAGAGACTGGCAACGCCTTAGGTAATTTTTGGAGACTGCTTGATGTTTTTCATTAGTTTGAGAGCTTTCCACTCTCTCTGTGTATACACTCATATATACACTCATATATATATATATGTATGTGTGTATATGTGTATATGTAGATAGCCTTTTACAGGTATGTTCTGTGGTGATAAGAAGGGCTGAGTGCTGCTGGAAAGGCACTTAACAGGGCCTGAGCAGGGCCAGGTCCAATAGGTGCTCCTGTTGTCCAAGCCTGGCAGGATGGCAGGGTCCCCGCTCTCCTCCAACCAGCACGTCCAGGATGCTGCAGGTCAGATGAATCCACCAGGGCTCTCTCCTCAGACTCGATCATTTCTTAGAAAGTGCCTGAAACAGCTTCCAAAAGTGGATCTGGGAGGAAGGAAGTGGTGGAGCTCACCAATTCCTTAGGTTGGTAGCAGCAACAGCAGTGCCAGCTGGTAGAGCAGCCTGGTCACCAGGACAGGGCTCTGGTCTTGCAGGGCTGTTGCATCCTGACATCTCTGTCCTGCTGCAGGAGATGCAGCCCATGAGACATGGTGTTGTCCTGCAGAAGGATGGTCTGTGATCCACACATGTTCCCTTTGGGCTGTGACCTGTTGCCTGAGCACCTGGTGCTCTGATTTCTCCGCTTACAAAAGCGAAGTGACCTTTTTGCCAGCTGACAAAAGGCTCCAGGTGCTATGAGCAATTTTGGTTTGTGCTGTGAAAAATTGGTGTCCTGGAGCATGCTGTGGGCAGGGATGGATGAAGGATTGAGTGGATTCTCCAATAACTGAAGGGAGCTGTTGTCCCTGCCCCTGTCCGGGGCTCTGATGGCATTTTGGTGGCTCTGGGTGTGTTAGTGTCACGAAGGTGGGTGGTGTTTTCCCTATGGTGCATCAGTGATCACTGGGCTTACTCTTCTTGGAAAGGAAAATGGTCCCAGTTCCAGCGGTGCTTGGTGCTGCCGGGGCTGAGCTCAAGAATCCACTGACCACCATCCAACGCTGGTGAGTGTCAGGGAGCTGCTCATCCCACCTCCTTGTGATATTTCCATCCCAAGGAGAGGACCTGGCTGCGGAGGGCTGCAGAAGCGTGGCAAATTCCAAACCTGAGTGTCTTCGATCCAGTCTTGGTGGGAAGGATCCGTTCCGGTGCAGCTGGTTGGCAGCAACCCCAGGCGGGAGCTGGTGTCACACAGAGGAAAAAGCTACCGGGTGCTGAGTGGAGTGGGTGACACCTGCAGAGCCGGAGCCCGATGGAGCCACTTTAGCTTCTTTCCTTGTTTTCATCACTGACCTTCTGGGCGACCTTGAGCAGATCTGGTCCGTCTCGTTGCTTGGGAGGCTGGAATGGGCTACATCTGCTCTACGGGGTCCATGCCCGGCGGGAGCCTTGGCCAGGATCCGGGAGGGAGCAGGTGGGACAGGCTCCCGTGGCCAGCGTGGGCCAAAGGTGCCCTGTGTATTTTATGCGCGCGCTGGTGCCACCGGTCCTGTTCGCAGAGAGGCTTTGCTGGTGGTGGCTGGCGGATGAGCTGGGTGATTTTGGGAGATCTGGACAGGTCTGGGGGGATGCTGCAAGGTCAGGCAGGATTGCAGGACCAGCGGAGCGGGGCGAGGAGCCTCCCCCGCAAAAACCACCACGGTGACGGAGCCATGGCAGGAGCTGGGACACAGTGACACCGGCCAAGGGAAGTCAGGCAGGCCCGGGCATCCGCAGAGCCACCAGGGCCGGGGGAAGGTAAAGGCAGTGACGGGTTCAGCGTGTTTAATCCCAGTGCTTCTTGAAGGGCTCCTGTGCCGAGCTCGAGCTGCAGCAGCCACTGTGCAGCAAGGTCACTGGAAGGGACATTAGCGCTTTGGGCAGCTCTGTGGTGAAGTCCCTCGGGGAAATGGGCCAGGGCTCTGCTCCGGCTGCTCCTGGGAGCCCGGCCGGCCTTGGCATGAGGGGCTGTCCCCTGACCAGCAGCACTGGCAGGGCCAGGAACACGGGGGCTCAGGGCCCCCTATATCCAACATCTCCGCTTGATCACCTGAGCTGGAGCTGCCTTTCCATGAAGGGATGAGCCGATTCCTCCTTCTCCTTGCTTTGGGAAAGGCTTTGCTGGCAATTGCTGGGCTTTGGGAGCTGCTTCTGTCCCAAAACGTAGCTACATCCCCTCTCCTACAGCTGCATTTGCTCCTGAGGGAACTCTAGGTCAGACCCGCTGACAGTTTCACACCCCCAGCACCACCCGAGAGCTTCTGTGCGTGGCTGGGAGCACCGGGCTGGTGGAGGGAGATCCGCATCCCACTCCACTTGGGAGCCACGTGTTTCCTCCCCACATCCAGTGCCCGGAGCCACCCGGGCCACGTTCTAGTTTCCAATTCCCGTGATGCCTCGTGGGGACCCTGCCCCTTTGCGCTCTATTAATAACTCGCTGCTTCAGCTTGTCAGTGCCTCTGGATTGCTCCCGTAATGCCTGGTGTCAGTTCTGGGCTGCAGCGGGAAACTTTGGCTGGGCACTTGCTCTGCCGCCCATCTATCCATCCACCCCATCCCGAACCTCTCAGTTTGAGTGTATGACTCCTTGTGCCACGGAGGCTACAGGAGACTCTTCTTAGGGCTCCGAAATCATTGCATTTGTGAAATAAACGTGATCTTCCTCCAGCCAGGAACGGCTTTGGGACTCCAGCCCCACGGGCCTCGCTGTAATGAGATCCGATGCCTTCAGTGCAGGTGGCCTCCATTAAGCTCCTGCGGAGATTAGGGCTGTTTTCGGTAGGTTCCCCCGAGCGGCAGCTCGTTAGTGTAAATATTTGGACGCCTCTCAGGCGTCATCATCATGAGGAGCAGCCTGCACCTCATGCATATGCAGAGGCCTCCTGGGACCGTGGTCCCTCCTCCACAGGAGCAGGGCCAGGGCCAACGCAGCCAGGGCACCCGGGTGGTGCTGATGGCTGTGGGTGATGCCGGGACAGCCGGTCCCATTGGTGCTGGGATGCTGGTGGCCGATCCGTGCTGCTCTATCCATCCACTGAAGGTGCAGGGGCTGGTGAACACCGGTACAGGGAGCCTCTGTGGACTCAAGGATGCTGCAAACCAGGTCTGGGGGCTCTGGGGTGTCTTGCCTGGAGCTGCATGTCTGATGTCCTCCGGGATCCTCCTATCTGACGTGCTCAGCTCATCTCAGCTGCTCCCCTCCCACAGCTTCCTTATTTCCTCTGCCCTGCCATCCTCCCACTCCATCCCTGCCTCTCTCCTGCCTTTCTCAAGGGTCTCTGCAGCCATTCAGCACCACCCCAAGCTTGGTGACCATCAACTCATTGCAGAGATGAAGTCAACCCCGCCTCTCTGTTCTGGCACTGGCCATGAGGACTTGGAGCCAGTACAACTTTCCCAGAGGTGCTGGATGAATGACCGCCTGGAAACGACCGCTCCATCCTCATGCTGTCCTTCATATTAGCTCCCATTTCAGACATGATGAACTCAGGCACGCAGAGCCTTTGGTGAGAATGTCCCAAGCATGGATTCGTGTCTCTGGACTTTGCTGCTTCTCTCTACCCGTCGCTGACATGAAGCAAGGGAAGCCAAGGCCGCATTCCTGTGCCTGGGATGTGGTGGAGCCCAGAGGGATGTGCTGATCGAGCCACAGGAGCAGGTGCTGCATGGAAAAAGTTCTCTGCTCTTCCCACTGACACTCCTCCCTGTTTCTGTTCCCTGCCACAGGCATCATGTCCATTACGTCATTCCATACGATGGGGACCAATCCGTGGTGGACTCCTCGGAGAACTACTTTGTGACTGACAATGTAACCAAGCAAGAGATCGACCTGATGCTGGGACTTTTGCTGGGCTTTTGTATAAGCTGGTTCCTGGTGTGGATGGATGGTGTCCTGCACTACGCCGTGCGAGCCTGGCGGACCAGCCGGCGGTATGGTAAGTGCTGCCTCTCCGCCCGGGTTATTCCAACCTTCTCCATGCAAACAGGAAGGTTTTCCTGGAAATATCCAGCAGAGCAGATCAGCCTTGGGATCTCTGCTTTGGGAAGTGTGTTGGTGCAAAGCAGTTTGTGTCAGAAGGGGCATGTTCACATGCAAGGAGACTGGCAGGTGGCGACTGCATGGTTGCAATAGTGCACAGGATATTTTCAGGTCAGAATAAGCTCGACTGTTATTTTATTTTACTTTATATTTTATTTTACTTTATATTTTATTTTACTTTATTTTACTCTACGCTATGCTATTCTATGCTATGCTATTTTTCCTGTGCCTCTGGTTTGCAGCCAGGCTCTTGCCCATGCAGGGAAGTCTCATGTTATTGGGGTGACTAGTGACAACATGATGACACTGACAGCCACCCTGCGAGCTGGGTCAGGGACATGTGAACTGAAGTTTCCCCATTTCCATTGCTCTTCCAGATGTGTCTTTTTTTTGTTGTTCTTTTCCCTCGGCATTGACTTTGCCTCAGGGAGATGTGTGTAGTCAGTAGCTGCAGCAAGTTGTTGTCCTGGTTGTCTTGTGTCCTGAGCTCCTATGCTGAGAATGAAGAGCACAGGTTGCTGTAGAGACCCTCCCTGCCCCTTTTTGCTCTCTTAGCACAGGTATCCCCTGGGCTTCCTGTTTTGGAGGGGGAAAAATTTTAAAAAAAACTCTTGAAAATGTGGAAGCCATGAGATCCTGCCCCATGATCAGTGTCCTTGGAAATCACTCTCTGAATGCTCCAGCTGCTGATGTCTACTAAATTACAGCTCCAATTTAAATAGAGGAAAAAGAGATTGAGCAAGATGGAGATTAATCTGTGAACCTATAAAAAAATCTAATTGGGGAAGCAGACTAACTCTTTCTCAAAACTCAGATCAAGACGACATTAATTTCTCATTAGTCTTCCCAGCAGTCTAAGCAGCCTCGGAGTCAGGAGTCAGGACTCTCTCTTGGGGACAGTTCCTTTCCCACCTACCAACCTTCTTGGGGTGGCATGGAATGGTTTTAGCCATTAAAGGTGGTTGTAGACACTCACATTTAAACCAAACTCTTGTTTTGTTCTATTCCTTCTTTTTTTCCTGTGCATACATGTCCAAAAGTTTTAATAAGGGGTTGACCAATCATGCAATATACTGCACTGGGCCATTTTTTTTTTTTTTCAGGAAAATGGATGCGATGTTGCTTTGCACTCAATTTTCTACCCTTAGCATGAGTATGACTTAGCAGTGACATTGTGTGACACTGTGTCCTGGTTGGCTTCCATCCTGGTCCATCCTGATCCATCCAGGCTTCCATCCCGATCCATCCATCAACTTTGTCCCAGCTTTTCCTCTAGGAGATGCTCATCCTCGTGGTGGCTTTGGTGCATTTCTGGGTGAAAGAGCCCCAAAAGTCTTGTGTGGTTCAGTGGTGGCTGATGCTGGGTGAGGCTGACCAGGGTATTAGATGATGGAAAGAAGGGAGAGACAATTAAAAGAGAGGCAGTTATTTCACACCTGGGGAAGGAGTGGATAGTGCTATGAGCAAAGCATGAAGTTTAACTGAAAAATGTGTATGGCCTGAAGAAAAGTTCGAGGCTGAGCTTAACTGTGTGCTGAGAGTCCCAGGTCCTTGCCAAGGCTGTAACAGGAGCCTTGTAACCTGGAAATTGGGCTCCCAGGGTAGCAGAACATGGATCTCACCTTGCCATCGCATCTCACTGCTTGTCTCCTTTCTGCCTTCCAGACAACTCCTGGTCCTGGATTCCAAAATTTTGTAACCTAAAGGAGTTCAGGAAACGTCACCACCGGCAGTACGAGGAGGCGACTGGGAACATGGTTCACATCAAGCAGAAGCTCTACCACAACGGGCACCCCAGCCCACGGCACCTCTGAGGACGGCCTCCTGCCAGGGACTCCAGTGAGGTTTTAAAAAGGACTTTGCTCCTCTTCCACGGGAACCGCTGTGAGTTTGCTCCTCTGTGGAAGCCAGTGGAGGATGTAATTTTATTTCTCCATCCCGTGTGCCCTTGTGGCACAACATGATGCACAACTAAGCCAATCCTGGATACTACGCAGCCAAGACATTGCACTGTGTTCCACATTTTATCGTCAGACTCGTGTACATATGTAAAAAGCAAACTAACGAACAACAAAAACATAAACAGAGAAGAGAGATTTGAATTATACTTTCAAACCCTTTTTTTGTGGCATTCATGGCTGTCCTGCCCATCCTGCTGCTCTCTCAGAGTGGCGACCAAGGCTGCAGAGGTGGGATCATGTGCAGTGTTCCTCACTTGAGAGCTAGAAGTCRCCCATTTCTTTGGTCTTTTGGTTTGGTTTTGCTTTGCTCTGGTTCCTCCTGCTAGGATGGCTGGGTGAGTGAGAGGTTTGGATGGGGATTCCTGTCAGCTAGCTGTGAACGCTCATATCCCTTTTACTCTGGTCTGTATTTTTTGAGAACTGCAGTGGGAGAAGAAAGTAAGTCCTGGAAATAAATAACTGATTTTTCTTTGCGTTGCTGTACCCTGAAACCTGCCTTAAGTGATTGAACACATCTCAGCACCACAGGGTATCAGCCCGTTGAGCCGGGCTGGTGCTCCCTGTTTTGCGCCACTTTGATGGTTGTGGTACCTCGCTCCACTCTCCTTCGTTAATGCTAAAGAGGAGGATTTGACCCATTAGCTTCAGTGTAGCTGCTCCTGATATATCAGGAACTGCTCCTTACTCTCTTAGATGGTGAAGCCCTGGCCAATACCTCCCCAGAAAAGTGGCAGCTCGGTGAGAAAGTCCCATTAACCATCTGTGCTTCCTCCCCTTCATCTCCCTCCTTGTTTTACCTCTCTGAGCTCAGAGAGCATTTTAGCGTCTGGGCTTGGCTTGAGGGACACAGAGAATCTGTGGCTCTGAAGCTAAACTCATCTCCAGAGTCAAATGCTTCAAGAATGGGTTGAATTGAAGTATGGGGATGCTCTAAGAGGGTTTAGCCTTGGCTTCCCATGGTGGCCGTTTAAGTGCAGGTTTCAGTATGTCCATTCAGTGGCTTGAGATCAGCCTCCTCATGCAGAGATGTCCTTAAATTCATACCAGAGCTGTTGGAAGGAGGGTGGTTTGATGAAGCCCCTGTGCCAATGCGTGTGGTGGTACCTGATGTTCATGGCAGGCCTGCTGTGCCGGGGAAAGGCAGCAAGCGGCCCTGCTTGCATGGCGTGGGCAGCAGCAGAGCTGCAGGTTCTAAGGGGAAGAGAAAATCTTAAGCAGAGAAACGTAAGGGAGATCCAGCCCCAAGGATTCAAGGGGATAGCCCTCAAATTTATCCGTTCTGCCTCTTTTTGTATTGAGTGGGCTTGCATTTAACTGAGAAAAAACCCTCCAAACTGAGCAGATGATGAATGCTACCAGACATGGACTATTTCCTCCTGTGAATTCCCTGTCTCTCTCACTAGTCTCCCATAGTTTGGTTGCAATGTCTGTGTAGGAGAAAGGACACTGTGACATCCTCCTCGCTCCCTTTCCTCCCTTCTCCAGCTTCCCTCTTGTTTTTCCCTAGGACCTGTTCAGTTATAAAGAGTCCCCAAAGCTGACAAGAATACCGGTTCTTTGCCATTCCTCTCTTTGCTATTCCATAGTGCCTCTTGTCTCGCAGCCTGTGTTTCTGTCTGGGTCTAAATAATTGCGTAGTCTCTACGTGTGTCCGTCTGCTTTTATGTCTGTCATTCAGTGCTTCCTAAGGCTGTTATCTGCAGCCACCTTTTGGCATCTAAAGAATGACTTTTCCTTTAGCGGATTGTTTCTAAGGCACGAGGTTTTGTGACCTCCCTCGCTATAGGAGCTCTGTGCCCTTGGCCATATGGACCCATCCTCAGTTGCCCTAGGACACTCATTTTGGTCATGTCACTTGTTCTGTGCCAGATAAAGACCTGTGGCGTTTGTCTTTGTGCGATGCCACTTGCTTAGTGGACAGGAAAGAAAATGGAGCAGGTGCAGGTCCTGGACACGTCTTCAGCTCTGAGTTGAAGATGGGACAACTTTTTGCAGGGGAGGAAATTCCATCATGCTAAGGGCAAATATCCAGTCCCAGGAATCAGCTCGGGGAGGAAAAATGCACTTTAAATAGTCTTTCCACTTCATGCCTCTCACAGGAGAGAAGTAAGCCAGTGATTTAAGCTCAGACTGAACCAAGAGCCTGGCTTCTCCTTGCTCTAGCAGCTGACCTTAGCTGAAACATGAAATTTTAATTTCATAGTGAAATTGTATTTAATGCAATGTTAAACTTACAGTTGCAAAAGGGTGAAATGATGCCTCGCAATGATCAAGTCTGCTCCACACCAGAATTTCAGGAAAGGGGGATTGAGGCACTGGAAGAAAAAGAAAAAAAACCTTCATGGTGCATATTTCCATAGTATAAACCATTGTTTATTAAAAWAAATAAATAAATAAATAAAACCTGCCATGGCTGCAGATGTACCTCTATACAAGAGAGACATGAGGTAGAAGAGGCAACTGTGCTCTGAACATTGCAAGACCCTGGTGCCAGCAAGGTGCAGCCGCAAGCAGAATTGCTCCCTCTCGTTCCACTCTCCTCTTTCCTTGCTTTGCCCGGTGCTGCGTGTGGGGATTGCTCCTTGTTTCACCGTGTGAGACATTGCTTGCCGTTCTCTTTGTTCTGATCCACTCTTCAAAACAAACAGAAAAACAACCCCCAGTGCAAAACAACAGCAAAACTCTGAAAAACCCAACGAACCCCCCAATCCCAAAGCATCTGGTAGAGACAAAGCGATTTTGCGCATCAGGGTTTTGGCACCATCAGGTCAAGGCACGGAAAGTGCTGGAGAGGGCCTACGGAGGAGCAAAATGTGGGGTGCAAACAGCAGGGATGAGGCATGGGAAGCACGCGCGGGACTCGGCTCCTCTCTGCCAGATGCTTTGGGGGAGGCTCCTGCCGAACGACATCGTGGGGGGAATTTTGTGCAGCCTCAGTCAGGGCTATTTTTAGAGCAGAGATGGAGCTTGAAGCTCCATACGCTGATTCTCCGGAGCTGGGATTGGTCCTGGAAGCCTCCTCCTGTGGCTGTGGTTGATGAGCCCGGCTTCCCGCCTAGGCACGGAATGGGCCAGTGCTGGTGCTGGTTGCAAAGGATGGGGCTGGGGAGAGACAGGGAGGAAAGCACAGACTGGTGAAATCCATGATTTAGCTCTTAAAATTCATGCAGCCTCTTCCCAGCCTGCCTCTCCCTGGGATCCCTGCAGGGAATGTAATTTTAAACCCATTCTGTGCCCCCTCTCTTCCTCTCTGCCTAAGAGCCATGTGCTAAAGAGCATGGAAAGACACTCATGTCCTCCGCTTTGCTCCCAGCCTGGCATCACTTGTCCCACCAGCACCACGTTCAGAACCAAATCTCCAGCTCCTTGGCGCTCACTGCTTTTCCAGTGTGGGCTTACTGGGTTTATGCTTCTCTTCCAGCCAGGTTTTTGCTGGATATGTGCACCAGGATTTTGATGGGTGTGTGACCCAGGTCCTGGAGAGAATAATCTGATCCTGCGAGGTGTTAAGCACCCTCTTTTCTTTCCCAAGGCTAATGCAGCTGGATGGAGCCCACGTTTCAGGAAAACATTTTCAATAATACAATGAAAATACAAGGGAAAAACTTGGAGCGTTGATCCTTCATTCAGTGTCTCCTATGCAGGAAGAGGTGCAGCACGCGCTGGTATTAACCAAGATAGAGAAATTATACTCTGAGTCTAACTCTAGAATAATCTTTCTTCTGAATAAAAAGCAATAATGGCTATATATATTTTTTTAAATATGCTTGCACAGGTGAATGTCACCCCTATTTGTGTTCCTTAGAGACTGTGCTGGAGCAAAAGGAAATTCCTGGAGCAGCTGCAGGACATGGGAAGTGTGGTGAGGGAGTGGGAGGGTTGAGAAAAGCACACTGGTTTTACTTGGTCAATGAACGAGTGTATCTCAGTCATCCCTTCTCTCAGTAGTATGTTTGTACAATATGTGACCATTCAGTTCCTGGAACTAAGCCCATCCTTTGTGGTTTGTCAGTAAAATAGTTTTTTGCATGTTCTGCATCTGACTGTTTTTTTTTTTCCAGCCCTTTGAAGCAAATGATGCTGCTGAGCTCAGAGATCTGCTGGGGCACAAGCTCAGGACAGGGGTTTAGGAGAGGACAAGAGGTGCAGAGGTATCTTGAACAGGCTGGGAAGCAGATACATCCAGCCCTAGTTATGGAGAAGGAAGCAGCCGTGTCTGGCTCTATTCATGGAGAAAGCCTGGATTTATTTATGGAGTTTCCCCTGGATTATGGGACATAATGGGACACTGTCTATAACATCCATAATGGGAACAGGATCACATACATAAGCCAAGCAAGCCTGAGGCTGAGGGGGTCTTCAGTCTTTGTGGCTTATGCACAAGTTGCTGCACAAGCCCAGGCTTGGTGGAGACAAAAATGGGAACCAGATCAGGGAAAAACAACTAGGAGCAAAGCTGAAAAACACAGCTACAGTAGCAGAAGACAAAGGGGGAAAAAGGACCGATTAGTTACGTGTATGTGCCAAGAGTGGTGAGTTATGGGCTGAGATGGACCGACTGCCATAAGCAAAGGACCTCCCAGCCCAGGAAGGCTCCCCAGGCAGGGTGACTTACAGCACAGACTGGACAAATTTATTCAATTTGCCACTACTACATCTCTTAAACATGCAAGCAGAGGAATAATATTGCAGTACAACAGAAACTATCAGAGAAAATGGTTTATTAAAAAAAGAAAACAAGTATTTCTTTTCCATTCAAAGCACAAATGCAGGTTGGGAGAGAGGTATGTCCTGGAGAGCCCTGTCTGCCTTTTCTGCAGCATGAGCTGTGCATTGGTGAGAAAACACGCAGTGTTGCATCCTCCTGCTTGCTCAGCAGGGCTTTCCTCGTGGTGTACCACATATAAAAGTAAATACTTTAACGGATGGCACCTGAGAATATAGATGACCACATTATTAATCTGTTTCCCAGCTGTAATGCTGAAGTGCAAAATAGACATTTTTCAGCTAGCCATGGCAAAGATGGGAATGATGCATTGCTGGCTAATCCATCTCCTCCTAGATTTGCTCTCCTATACAAAATACTATTTTAATAAAGTGCCATTATCTCATAATTCACTCAGTGTCATGGCTAGGAAATAACCTCAGCCTGGAGCTGCCATCCTCTCCTTACAGGGAATATTAACAGATAGCTAGTTGGGTGTCACCTCTCCAGGGACATCACTCATTGTTGGAGCCAACAGCAAGCCAAACTTATTGGCAAAAGCAGAAGCTGTATAAGATCCAGGGGCCTTTTCTTCTCCTTCCCAATTGCATTCCAGGTGACCACAGGGGTGGCAGCGACTGGCACAGCCGTTCAGCAGGGCATGAAACCACCTTCCTGGCTGTTGGGATGTGGAATGAGAAGGAGAAGGTATCTCCTTGCAAAGGTGGATCTGGAAAGGTGGTAGTGGTCATCGCTGGGACTCACAAAGAAAATTGGTTTCATCAGTGTTTGCAGTGATGCAAACCGATGGTGGAAAGCACACGATGTGAAGGAAGGAAAAGCAACGTGTCAGGGGAAAACAGCCCTTCCCACTACCACCCATTCGAGTGGATGTGGACTCTTAGCGACCGGATAAATATTCTGTTTTGAGAGCAGGTTGAGGAATTTGCTGTGCCCAAAGCACTTTAGGCCCTCGGATGCTGCAATCCATTCTGATCCTGGCAATAGAGGACCTAACACCTGGAGCATAGGGCACGTAGGATAGGGAGGAGTTCAACCATAGGGTCTTTTACTCGCTGCACAGGCAGCAGCCTCCGTGCCCTAGGCTTACTAAGCCCTTAATGCTCTTAAAGGAAGGGAACAGGCATCACCAAGGGGACACCAGCCCCTGCAGAGCTTTGGCTCAGCCTAGGCTGGAGCAAGAGTTTTCCAGCGCAGGTTCCCCCCTGGCTGCAGTGTGCGGGAAGCAACTGCAAGCACTGAAAGCACTGCAAGCCTCTGCTTCCCCCTGGGAGCCCAGAGCGGCGTCAAGGGGAGCAGCCTCAGAGCCTCTCACCCCTCGCTGCAGCAGGAGCCTCTTCCCAGCTCCCAGCATCAACAGAAGGGCGAGGAGAAGACAGAATAAACACAAAACCTGCTATACCCTCCTTGCCTCTCATTGCATCTCCAAACCATTGAGACTGTTAGGGAAGCGGGATGAAGAGTATCCAAGGAGGAAGTCACGGTTAGATATTTTAATCACAGAAGATCAGTGCTCCATTGCATAATGTGCTAGCACGGCTGTTGGAGCTCAGCTCCCCTCTCTCTCTCTTCCTGGGGGTTCAAAGCATAATGTAATTTTAAAGAAAACAACAGAACAGGGAAGGCCAGCAAGGCTCGAGCACAACAGGAGGCTGAAATGCAGCTACCCCTACACTGACAAGGTGTCTTGAAGACAAGATCTAAGCTCAGTGCAGTAAAAAGATGCATTGCATTAAACAGGCAGTTTCAATTTAAAAGGCAATTCTTTCCCAGCATCGGTCCCACGTGGCAATGAGGATGTGTTAGCGGGGCACAAGGGTCAGAGTGCACAGTGCTGCTGTGGAACATCTGTCCTGAAGAAAGGGCAACTTCTAAAATGGGTTTCCAGGGGTAAATGCAGTTTCTCCCTTGGTGCCAAGGAAAAGATGCAGGAAGGATCCACCATGAGCACAGAGGGATTTGCAGCCTCAGCACGTCACTCTTTCCTGGTGCTCCCCAAGGCTGCCGTTTTGACGGCACTGGTGACAATCCTCATAGCTTTCTGCTCCTTTCCCACACTTGCAGGCTCATCAGGCCACATTTCTGCAAGCTCTGCACCAAGGACCAGCAGAATGGACTAAGTAGAAAGTGCTGTCAGCTGCTGCCAGAGGAGGGTGGCTCAGCAAGGTAGTCAAGGGCACTGCTGAGGTCAGGCTATGCTGTATCTGCTCCGAGTAGCTACATGGCAGGATGTGGAGCAGAGGCCAAGGTTCAACTCCTCTTCAAGCTTTGGGGGAAGGAAAAAAATTTAAAAAGAGAAGGAAAAAAAAAGAAAGATTTTCTATTTGGTCTCTTAAGACACACACAGACAGATCTAATGTTATCTATGCAGACAGCTTGGTATTCATGCTTGGACAAGGGCACATTTATTAGTTGCTCTAGAAATGCAGCACTAGAGGCAGAGCAGCTTCCTGGCTTCAACAGCAGCAGCCCAGGCTGTGCCACAGGGCTGCCTGGCAAACAACACGGAGGGGCAGGCAGCAGCAAAACCGTGCACCACAGCATGTGAAGCASAAGGGAAGTGACAGCACCAGCCTCTGTGGCACTGAGTTTGCCCCAGTCTGTCAAGGGGTGACAACCAGGGAGCAAGGAGAGATTCCCTGCAGAGATATGAGCCAGGAGGAGGCCTGGCCTGGGTAGGATGGAGGGAAGAGCTGGGAACTCACCTGTGCACACACAGAAATGAAGCACGTGGGAGCAGCACTGCCTGGGCCAGCCCTGGGCTTACAGAAGCCCAGGTCACTGGGACGGCACAGACCTCGTCAAACCACTGAAAAGCGTTTGGAGTTTGGGCCTCTCTAGCAAGCTGGGTCACAGAGACTAGCACAGTCAACAGCATTTCAGCAAGAAGGTCCTTTAATGCAGTTGCTTTCGGCTTATTCAAACCATTTTTTTTGGTGTATTGTAAAATCACGAATGGCACAGACACCAAAAACACCATGAGCAGATGGAGGCAGCAGCCAGTGCTCCTGCCTTGCACTAAGGGACACTTGTCTCCTGAAGCACATGATTACCCCAGAGATTTTTGCCGCTGACCCTCCCCACACACGCTAGACTGAAGCCTGCAGACTCCTGCTCACACAGGTGATCCTGATGGAAAAGGCAGGAGCGAGTTCCTGATGCCCTCTTTGCCTCCTTCAGCACCCTCTGCTTTCAGCCAGTCCATTTTCTGCCTGTGTTGCTGCACGGCATCAGCCACCCGGGCATCGATCATGGCCTCTGTCAGGACACCGTCCTCCGATGCATACGCTGCGGCCTGTGGAGGTAAAGGCGGGGGTTACCCACGGCAGATCCCAGAATTTCTGGTCCCCATCTACTTGCTTCTCCATGTGTTTTGTCCCCCACTACCCAGCACGACACTCATTCTTGTTCCATGTTGCTAGTGAAGCCAGAAGAGCCCGGCCCCTCTCCCTCAGAGACATTCCCTTCCCCTCCTGCAGCTCCACCAGGGACTGGCATCTATCAAATGTCCAAGGAGAGAGATCTGGGCACCGCTGCACTTAACCCTGCCTTGTGCACAAGCACCTTTGCCTACTGACCCCTGGATTTTCTGATGCCAGATCTGCCCAGCATCACTTCCACGATGCTTCAGCTCCCATTCCACACTCCTCTACCTCTGGGGCCTTTCCTTCCCACTCCACCCATATCCTGACTCCCATCTTCCACAGTTCTTTGTGTTAGAACAACATCTGCTCCTCACGCTATTTTAATAGGCCACAGAAACTCCATCAGAGGCCTCGCAGAAGAGCTGAAAAGTGCCGACATCCCTGCAGAGAGTCCCACAAAGATTCCAGGGGCAGGTTAGGAGACCTTGCTTTACTACTCTGCAGCAAGTGCAAGCTGTTCCTGTCCAGACACACAGGATGGCTCCGGCGCTTGTCACCTTGCAGAGGGCCCCACAAGCAGCAGAGCCTCAGAAGGGAGATGCTCCCACTGCTCGCTGAACAGCCCATCTCCAAGGTAACCCAGCAACTCCAAGCTACACATTTCTATATCTGGCTGCTCCCTGTGCAACTCAGTGCTGTGGTTCCCTGTGCAGCTCTGCTGCGCCAGGAGGCCTGAATAACACACTGCACTGTGACCCCTCCAGCTCTAACACCTATGGTACCTCCAGCAAAGCATCCCAAATTTCTGCCCACACCCCTTTCTCGAGGTATTATGCCATGGATTCTCTCATCCCAATGCTCCTGACTGTACGGCTTTCCTTGAGATCCCAATTAGAAAGAGAAGCTCTCAAGGCTGAGGCTGAAGTGCATTCATAAGGTGTTACATATAGGCCCCATAAATCTTTAGTGAGGCAAGCCATCGAGGCTGCCAGACCTCATCAGGTTTGCCATACCCAAGTTCTGACAAGTCAGCAAAAACATCACTAAAACAAAAATTACAGCGTAGCTGTTTTTTTGCTCTCTTTAACCTGCAACAGAGAGGGGAAAGAAGCTAAGCCCAGATTAGGCTGTTGCACTGGTCACTTTGGTTACAGCGTTGACTGGGCAGGCTGCGCCTCCCTGCAGGAGGGACAATTCCTTCTTCCAAGGCAAAAAAGGCTACAGAGCTGGTCCCCAGCCTCCTCTAGTTTGTATTCCAGTCCTTTTCAGAGAAAACTGTCCAGATTACAAGAAAAAGGAGGTCTCTCTGCATAAGCCACATATAAACAGGGAGCTGGAAGGCACTGCTTTTCGCTGCAAGAGGCATCAAAACAGATTCCCCCCTGCAAAAGTCTGGCAGCCCTTCCTTAAGGAAAGGAAAAATTAATGCTAACTTGAGATGTGGACATCAGCTTGTCACCCACTGTGAAAAAAGCAGAGGAAGGAAGAGAAAGGAACCTGCAAATGGAGAATTCACTGTGCAGTCCTCCAGCCAGCAAGATTTGGTGTTTTAAAATGGAGCGAGTGTTTCCTGGAATGTGCAGGCGCAGCTGCACGGCGCAGGGAGGATGCATTACCTTCCTCCTCATCGTTGCACAGACCATAAACGCAGTGATGTCAGCTCCTGCAAAGCTGTGCAGCTCACGCTCTGCTGATTTTCTCAATGACTTGCTATTTATAGAAAGCCTCGGGCCTGAACTGTCACAAAAGCAAATGGGGAGAGCAAGTGTCCTTTGTGGGAGCAGCCCGCGTGTGCACACATTTGTGCGCACGCCTCTGCCTCCTGCACGAAGAGATTTTAACCCATTTTCTGCAATGCAGGTATTTCTAACTCAGTCACAGCTACAAACTAACCTGGAAATAAAGAATTTGGAGGAGAAGTAGAGGGGTGAAGAATATAGGAGTCCAGCCTAAATGAGAGAAGTGCCACTTGGTCTCTGAAGTACATCAGTGGGTTTATGTTTGCGCTGCAAAACTAGGAGTCTGTACACTACTGTAAGGGATCTGAAGGGAATTTTGAAGTGTGTAAATACATCTGATCCATGGTGTATTTGTAAAAGATTAGATACAGGCAATGAAAAAGCATCAGGACAAAAGGAAAGGCTCAGTGTTTTGCAGAAGGGAAGCATTAAAATGGATTTCTAGCATGAGGTCTATTAGCTGCACCAAACACTATTCTTCCCAGTGCCAGAGGCTTTTCTGAATCTTAACTCTTSTTTTTGGAAAGTCTAGGACCTGAGCTAGACTGAACTAAGAGGGAAATAGAGCTTTTTTCATGACAGTCAATCCACTTCAAACACATCTAATGTAAACAAGACGCTCATGTAGAGAGCTCTTTATGGGTGCCTTTATGGGTGCTCTGGCATGCAGCACCTCGATCAGAATTTCACGAGTCACACAGCAGTTGAAGAGACCAACATGTCAAGAGTCAGTAGTTGCATCCTGAGGTTTGGCAGCTTTTCTTGAGCCAGATGTGCTAGCTCCTATAGCCTCCAATTGCCCTGATCTTCTCCCTCAGTCGTGCCAGGACAGCACTGTGCAGTTATGCAGTGCCCTCGTCTTGCCAGGCTATTTTTAACTCTCATCATCTCCCTGACCCAGTTCATAAAGCAGCCGTACAGAGAATTCTAACAGCACAATGAAAAGAAGAGCAGAAAGGCAGAAATAAGCAGCAGGAGCCAAGGCTGCCAGAAATGCCTGTCAAACTGCAGCCTTAATCCTTCTATGATAGAAGAGTGCATTAGATCAGCTGCAAAACTATCTACAACAAGCTACCAGCCAGAGCTGGCCCTGGCCCAAAATAGTAACACCATTCAAAAGATCAGGTTCAGTCAGGAGGAAGCCTCAGGGCTTTTACTGTGCCCTCCCAATCTTCTTCTGAGGAAAAAAAGGTACACGTGCCTAGCCACTAGCTGGAAAAACTGCTATTTTAACACTGACCCTTACCACATTACCCTTCCTTTCTCAATCAACAGGGTGCAAGATATGAAGCCTCTTGTTCCAGAACACCAGCAATTGATTTTGACACAGCTCCTGAAACAGCTTGTATCTTTCTACTCAAATACTGCTGCATCTTCACATCCTTTGTTTCTAAACCCTTCAAGTGCTTCATGAAAAGGAGAGAGGAACGTAGCCTCCTGCTGCTACTCTGCGGAGCACTTTTTAAATGTTCTGGTGCTGTAAGGTACCCTAAAAAGCCTCATTCCCTGTTAATTAATCATTAAAAAGCATGAAGAAGGTAAGTCAGCCCAGCCTTCTTTAAGATCACTTGAAGGAGGAATAACAGAAGCTAAGATCATTCCTGGAAATGGACATGGATCAAGTCCATGGATCGCATCATGGATCATTCCTGGGACGGATATTCCCATTATGACAAGATCTGAGTGCAACATGACACTCTGAAGCCTTCCAAGAAGTGAGAAGGACCCAAGAGGCCCAGTGAGAGCCACGTTTACCTGCCAGGCCACGGCAAGCTGAGAGATCTCTCGGCCAGACATGCCCTCTGTCAACCTGGCAATCTCCGAGCACTTCTTCCCATAGTCAAACTGGGCCAGCTTCAGACGTCTGGAAAAAGCACAAGAATTAATTTGCATGAAGTTGAATGAGAAGAGAAAGGAGGGAGGGAGTCCACAGGTAGCCATTTTTTTTTTCTTCTTTTCCTAAGGAAAGATTCTCAGATGAAACCACAGTAATTCAGCAGTGTATATCTGAAGCAGATGCTCAATAGCATGTAACTTACCAGCCTTCATGGATTTTTATGATAATTTAACCCCAATCCAAATACATTCAGCACAGGAATCTGGAAGCCAACCGTCAACAACGTAGCTCTTGAAGGGCATCATCAGATTTTTTGTTCTGAACACAGCAAACGCCACCACAGTTTAGGACAACTATCACAATGTAATTTGGATTAACGAAACATCGACAGCAATATTTGTGTAGAAATAGACCAAATCAAATAGAATGGAGCATGCTGAAAGTAGTTCAGCGCTAAGAAAGCCCTTCTTCAGTTTTACCTCTTCTTCTAGTTCTCTGAGTGCTCATCAATGTGATTCCTGCTCTGAGGGATTTAGAGAAAGGCCAGTTACAAGCTGGAAGAAATCTGATGCTTTCTTTAAGTGGTTCACAGCCACTATAGGTCTGACCGCCACATGTACTACACAGTTTGCCATGTATAGCAAGGAAAGCACCTGTCATACTGCTTGAATGTTATAGTGAAAAATACATAGGATATTAAGCATCAAAAAATTCTATAGAAGGTAAAGATTCTGCAGGGATACTTACTGTTTACCCTCTGTGGCTGGCTTCAAGACATGTCTATCAAAATACATCCTCACAAGCCGCTCCCGTTCTTCTAGCTTGGGTAGATCAAAATTCACTATTTCATCTATTCGGTCATTGATAGCCCAATCGAATTGCTCAGGCTGGTTGCTTGCTAAAACGAGCATAAATCTGGAAGGACGAAGAAAAACAGAGATTGAAAAAAAGAAGAAAAAAAAAAACCACACACACACAAAAAAAGACAACATACAAAACAAAAAAGACCCCAATAGCCTCATTATCAGAACTGCCATGGCCAGCATGCTATGCAGAATTTGAAGTCCTTTGCAATTAGACTAGAGGTTTCCAACTTCCTTTTGAATGACAGCTCTTTTTGAGAAATTCCTCACTTCAGGATAATACCTCTTATGTGATGAAAGTGGATATTTACTTGTTACTATGCTGTCCTGTTCTGTGTAGGAATGCATTTAAAGTTGCTCTGAGGTCCTCACTGATTTTCTCCTGCAAAGATAAAATCCAAAAGATGATCAGCTGCCTGGGGACCTAAGACAGGTCACAGAGGCAAGCAGTTTTATTGCCAAAATAAGCTCTACTATGCACAAGATAGTGACTTTTGAAAGCAAATCATCTGTAGGGCAAAGCTGTAGCTTGGTTAAGGCACCAAAAAGCAGTTCTGCTATGCAAACAGCCCAAGGTAACGATTTGTTGAGGACAAAAACAAACCCTGCAGGGTCCTAGCACTGCAGCATGACCAATCTTCCCTTCTTTTTGCTCATCCACATGCCTGCCTCTCCTCCTGCCTACTGTTGACAAAATCCCTAAATAGATGATGTCACCCATCTCATCCATAGGAAGGAATTTCCAAGTCAGCCTTGAGATGCTCCTCACATTCAGCTGCAATTTCTCGTCTCAGAGCCCCTTAATTAGGTGAGCAGTAGGGCAGGTGCCACTTTTAATCTTTTGACCATTTAGCCTAACTAATCAGGTTAAATAAGAAGGCTGCTGCCTGATGCTGCATCGTGCATCCCTTAGGCCACTGAAGAAGTACTTACCGTTGCCCTCTTCCGCAGAAAGGCATCTGCTTCATCCACAAACAGTAAAAGACTGTAAAGAGAAAGTACTAGAGAGTGATGCGAGTCAGGTAATGAGATTCAAATGATTCAAGGCCTCTCCTGTCCCACAGGAGACATCCATAATGGTAACTAGATGAAAATCCAAAGGATCATACAAGCAGGTTCATTTTTTAAGGCAACACTTATTATCTGAGCTGAGGCAACTAGCTCAGTGCATGTTCTTGGACTATCCCAGCAGCTCAGAAAACAGGTATTAGGTGAAGAAACTGCAGGAGATAAAACTGACTCCATATTTCTTGAATTTTGCTTCCTGTTGTTCAGAAGGCAACGGGCATGGACCTAGGTCAGGTGCAACATGCGGCAAACTCCACCCAGTTGAGTAACTTCACATCTTTCAACTTTTTCTTATTTTTTAAAAAAGATCACATCAATTTTGGCTTCCCCCCCACCTCTGCCCCGCTACAGCTCCGCAGAATTGGATATGAAGCTTAGACTATTTATTCTACAAATTCATTTTTTAATGGGGAATCAAGAACATTTTGGTGATGGATGCAAGAAAGGATTAGAACAGACACTGCAAGATAACCAGAGAAGACATAAATCACCAATTAGTCATTTCTCTCAAAATCTGCAATCAAAACACAGCACAGAAAAACAATAATACCCCACCACAAGCTCTCTACTGTATTTTAATATCCCAGCTGGACAATCAGCTTTGCTGATGCCTTCAGCCTGCAAGAATGCATTTATACCAGCATAAACAGACTTGCTATATTCTCTCAAGAAATCAGAGTTGAATTTTTCCCCCGAGATAAAAGTTTGTTTTAAAGGCCCCCTAAAGCAACACATGAGCTTGTGATTTTTACATCCTAATGGCAGTGCCTTTAGAACCTGTATCCCCACATTCAACATTACAAAGCAGTCAAAATCCACCCCTTATAGGCATACTTCTGAAGATATTATGCCTGGCCAGTGTTGTCTCATCTGTTCCAGAGAATCAGTCAGCAACAAGGAGAGATCAGGAGCCAGAGGAACTTCCACTTACCCTCTCCTGCTGGTGTTTGCCCAGTCGAAGAGCTTGTGCATGGCTGTGACTCCTTCCCGCCCCATGGGGGCAACATCGCCACCCGTCATGATGGCATAATCCATGCCCGAATGCACAGCTAATTTCTGGAAGGAAACACAAAAAAGTGAATGAAAATGGGAGTTCAACATTCTCCTCCACTGCAAGACTGCAAAGGCTTAGACCTCGCTATGCACTTCTGCTGAATACAGTCATCTGAAGGTTAAAGCAAAGAGGGCAACTCACGTAGAGAAGCAAGAGCCCCAGCAAAATGTGTTTTGCTGAACCCTAACCACTTGTCTGCTGTACAGCACGAGGCAGGAAGAAAGCTCTGCTCTGTCCATCAAGAGCATGCACTACTGCTGCTGACATTTAGTGCTTTGCATCAGTGCAATAATGCTGTGAGCTCTAACACAACTCTCAGCTCAAAAAAAAAAAAAGGTAATTTTCTGTGCCATATTTATCCTCCTCCTTTATAACACACAGGTTTGATGAACCCAGACTTTCCCTCTCTCTTATATTCACATTCTTTCTGATCACGTTCTGATCTCCACCAATGCTTTACAGCTACCACCACTATCTCCTTGCAGTTTTTATGGATGGAGTGGATTTCAGAGAAGCTGCTGAATTTTTCAGAGCACCCAATAACACGCAGGCTATGAGAATCCAGGCAGGGTTTTACCTTAGCAAAGAGCGTCTTTCCAGTGCCAGGGGGACCATACATAAGGATATTCCTGTATAGGCTTTTGTTCTTTTTTGTATTTCTTGTTGCTATGGCAATGTCTCTCACACGTGCTTCCAACTTTGGCTGCAAGGAAAGAGTTAAGCTCAAGTAACAGGTACCTCCATGAGCTTGAGATAGGCAGACAGTAACTGTTGCAAGGACTGGCAACAGCTCTAACAGTTAAAACAGTCACCTCATATTGAATGCCCTAGCAAGGATATATCCACCAGGAGCAACTCTTCAGAGAGCACTAACTCTTTCAGGCAAAGAAGTGATAAACATGCATGCTCATATTTATTCCTATATTTGTAGAAATATCAGGATAAAGTTATTACTGCAGGAGCATTTTCTCTTTACTGCCTCATGAAGCATTGAAATGTCTCTGGTATCAAGGAAGCAAACAACAGCAGCATTAATTACCAAGTTAAGGACCATTCCAAAGACTGATAAATGAATATGCTCCTCAGGCTTTTTGGCCTCGAGCTACAGCTGTGTTCAGTAATATCTGACAGATTGGATAAGTGGAACTCCACATGTTAATCTGCTGACTTCAGAGAAAAACTGCAGCGGTGCAAGCACTGGACAGAGACTTCCAACTGCTTTGCACAGAAAGATCAAAGGTTATCAGAGTTTAATGTGTGCCACTGAACACAGGAGCTTATTTACAGTCTCAGTGCCCCAAGGGTGCTATGTCTCCAGAATTACTAGAATTACAACATTGAAAGTCAAAGTAAGATTCAAAATACATAAATATATATATACACACACTTCACACATCAAAACAGCAAAATAAAATACTCACACTGAGAACAACTCCTTCAAGAGCATCCTGAGCCTTGCTGGTAAGACGCTTTCCAACCTAGAGAGAATAAATTTAATCACTGACACGTAGCAAACCCATCACAGACTTCACAACTCACCTGGACAAAAGGTCTAGATAAAAATTATATATATAAAAATAAAAATCACAGGGAAGTCATCTTGCCTATGCAGTTTTTAGCAGTGGATTGATTAACGGACCCAGGGATCGCTCACTGCCTTATATACAGAACAGCAAAAGGAATTTTGTATCCATGGGGCTAAAAGCAGTGAAAAACAGTGACAAAATTTACCTTAATGGGGTGCTTCAGTGCCTCCAGCACAGTGATGCGCGAGGTCTCTCTCACCAGGGAGGGTTTCCCCAGCCGGGCCTCAATGTATCGCCCCGCTACAGCGGTAGCGTTCCTGGCAGAGTAAACACCCACTGCTAGCAGGGTCAGGCCCGCCACCTGCGAGAAAAGGCAGCAGGATTAGCATCAGAAGGCAGAGTGACTTTGTCACTCACCCCCGCCACTGCTGGTTCCAAGACAGGCAGAAAACTGATTTCTGGGTAAAAAGACTGTGAAGCTAACAAAAGCACCTGGCAAGAATTTTCCAAAGGATCTCAAATTGCAAACATTGGGGCTGCTCCATGCAAATTATGCTCTGTGAGGCTAGGAACTGCACCGCTATCCACTGTTAGGACAGAATTAAGGGTTTTACTGTTTGCTCTTATGCTCTAAGCATTATTACTTTCACACTAAAGGTACGTTCTTCTTCACAAATGAAAAGCATCTGAAATAAAACCTCTAAAACAGGAACCACCAGTCCTGTAATTTAGCCAGAAGCAGTGACTTATTACTAAGTATGTTTTACTGCGTACATAAAACTCTCGATAGCTACCCAAGAAGTCTCACATTACTCCCTCACAGTGCTTGCTTATAAATTAATGGGATGAAGCTCAAGAAAAGAGGATTAGATTAGATATGGGATTTCTGAATGGAGATGTAGTGAGAACTCCCACGAGAGAAAAGGCAAAAGTCTGTATGTTCCAGCTATTGAAAATTACACAGCAATTGCTGCAGGGCAATCACCCAGATTCTGCAGGCAAGATGAAAAAACATGTCATTTTCTCTGTTGTCTAGAGAAAATAATCCCTTTTGTGTTTCGGGTCCAAATGAACTGAAATACACCTCCAACATGCTTTTCCCAATATCCTGAAAGAGACATTTCCAGTTTGCAGTTTAATTGCAGGGGTACAAAAGACATTTTTTTGTGGGAGGAGGGAAGAGATTTTCTGCGTCCAGAAACCATTACTGGCAAAGAAGCCCTATATCAACATTACTAAGGACTACACAACATTTTCAGTTTAACTACAAACAGAAATTCATCCGTCATGAAAAACTGAAGTTCTGGAAGGCCCACTCTTACCGTGGCTGTAACTTTATCCCAATCCGTTACAAAAGCACGGAAGCCTTCCCCGAAGAGCATCCCAGCTGTCCTACAGTAAGAGGAAACAAGACAAGCAGGAAGAGAAATTCTGAAGACTGAATTTGAACTGAAGCAACGTACAAGATTACTCTAAGTCCTCATAATAGCTTTGACTGATTCTCAGGAAGGTTAACTGAGGGCTCAGCTAGGAACCCAAACACGAACAAGGATGGCAAATACATTTATTTTCCGATGTGCTCGCCTGATCTGGCATTAAATTCAAAAGACTACTTGACACTAAGTCATTACGACCATCTTTTTTTAAATGGTAATAAAAGGTGTCTAATTCAAAAGCTCTTTCCATCAAAAACCTCAAAAGACCTAAAGGGAGCTTTTCTTATTTCGAATTGACAAACACCAGGAAGGTTTTCAACAGGGCAGGAGAAATCTGCAAAAGCAGCAGAGTAGCCCACACCCTTCGCTTGACTTGCACGTACTTGAGGGACTCCAACACTGTCTGTCGATGCTCAGCAGCCTTCAAGCGGATTTGCTCCCGAATGATGTCCGCGTTCTCTCGCTCGGCCTTGGCTCGGGCTCTGGCTTCAGCCTCAACACGCAGCATTTCATTTTTATGCCGCAGCTCCATCTCTCGCTCTACAGTTGCTGAAATAAATGAATAGATAAATGAGAGAGAGAGAGAATAAAATAAAACACATGCTGCTTGCCAATATGCTATTAACACAGGCTCCTGATTGAACATTGGCCAATATGGATATGAATTCAAAGATCACTACGGAGACTGATCTGCCCATCCGCTTTGTCACCAGCTAAAGAAAAATGAGTAACTCACCTCGCCTCATGGCCTCTTGCTTCTGCACAGACTCCTCCTGCTTCCTCAGATTCTCTTCATTAGCAAGTTGCTATAAACAGAGATGATGGTAGTAGATTTGTTGAAGTTTTAAGAATGCAGTGAGTAAAGTATTTGTAAAGTATAAGGGTTATAAAAGCTCCCAAGAAAGCAGTATCTAGTTTAAAGGGCATTCTTCACTGTCCAAGCTCCCATTCCAGATTCACACTCCCAAACGCAGCGCCCATAGCTGCGTTGTCCTGTCCCTGTTTTCTATTTGCCTGGCCAAAAATGCTGAAGCCAAGCATATATAAGAAACTAATAGTATCATACCTGCTGTCGCATCTGCTCATCATAGCGCTGCCTTGCCAACTTGTCCTGATATTGGGCTCGCTTCAGAAAAAGAAGTATTTAGAATAAAACATCATTTGTTTAGAAGAGAGCAATATGAGAGAGTAGAAAAAAAAAAAATCTTTCTGACCCAAAAGCGCTTTACTGGCAGAACTGTATTTTCATGTTCAAAGACAAAATATCTAGATGACTGTAAACAATATTGCCAAGATATGCTGCTTGTCAATTGAGCTCCATTTCTCATTAGTTAACTTTTTCTCATTAATTACTTTAACCTTTTTTTTCCCCACTGCAACTGGCAAATAAATCGGTGTCATCTGAACTCCACTGTAAGGGGTCTGGGCACCCCAATCCATCAGCAGAGATGACCTTGGACAATAGGTGATTCTATTCTCCATTGCAAGTAGAATATCTCATAAGTCATGTTCTCAACAACTGTATTTCACAGCACATCACTCAAAAGTGAATCTTGATTAAATTTGCTTTGGCTTCATCAAATGATGACCTACAAGCTGCAAGTGTTTAAGAACTAATTCATGAACAGCTCAGATACCTAACAAGAAGGCTACGTCCTGATCCAGCCCCATTCAAAGTCTGAGCTCCAAGGGGCTAAAAAGCAACATGTGMCAGCCAAGCACTTGTAGCTGGCATCGTATATCCCCAAGTTACATTTAGCAATTCTGTATTTTCAGGAACTCTCAAAGTAAACCATCACCACGTGTGAGCAATGAAGACAAAGCCAATTTGCATTTCCCAGACTTCAGTATTATCATCTCCTCAGTAATTCAATACAGATGGCTAAAACATACCAAAAATCATCAACTGCTCAAAAGCCAACTTCTGACAACACTCAGATTTGCATCACTTCTCCTTTAAGGTAACTTGTTCTTTCCGAAAGATCAAGCTTGAAAGAAATAGAAGGTCAGAGCCTAGTTAAGATGTAAATCCAAATAACTGGAGAGATTTCACTGTCCAAGTAACACACATGCTTGATAAACCAGCACTCCTCAATCTTTTAATACCAGCAGCTCTTCTGGCACAAACAAGTGCAAGTCAGAACGCTTGACTTCTCTTTAAAGATCCTTGAAGGGAAGTTAAAGGAAGAACAAGCGTTATGAGGTGTCCCTTCAGGTGTTCCAGAATTTCTGAACAAGAGTTTGACACCACAAAGCTGCACCAATTTGAAAATTGGTCCCACCATTACAAAGCTGGCTTACAAAACAGGGGCAGTCTGTGAACAGGCTCCCCTTTAGGGTTGCCCCAGGTAGAAAAGCTCAATTAATGCATTGTTTCCCTTTTCACAATGGAGGGCACAAACAAGATCACTGATGGGTTGGATTCCTCTGCATTTCCTTACTGCTTGATGCTGTTTTGTTTCCTCTGTGAGTGTTTTTCTTCTCTCCTCTGCTTGTACCCGTATCTGTTCACTCTTCAGCTGTTCTATGGCAGCTTCATACTCCTATTGTAGTAAGAAAACAGTCATCACAGAGAAGCTCAGTACAACATCCTACTGGTGACAACTACATTCCAAGAAGAGCATTTTTAAAAGCACTGTGATACCCTGCAAAGCAGACAGACCCTGTTTTGGCTTTATAAGGATATGTGATCAGTAAAATATGAACTTAAAACAGAAAGCCCATAGTCAGCCATTTCACAATTTCACGTGATCTAAAAGTCTACACGACAGCACTTCACCACACAAAATTAAAGAAAATCCGATGCAAGAATGAGAAACTTTGCACTCCCACCACACTGTCTTATTATTTTCTAATAAGGCTCCAGTTTATCCCCTCCCCGCACCGCCCAAGCCTGACAATTCCCTGACATACAAAGCGCTGGGATTTGGGCCACACCTTGAGCTTGGTTTGCTGCTCCAACTGCAGGGTCTGTTCTTGCATTTGGGCGAGACTGAGGGCGTCTTTGGCGTGGCCTGGAAAGGGGTAGCAGGAAGAAGGGATCAGGGTTTTGCTGTTCCCGCAGCGAGAAACTTCCCGCCTTCCACAGCCCATTCTGATGCCCCCAGAGCGCCCCAGACCCTCCCCGGGATACCCCCGCTCGGTGCCCAGCAGGGCCCGGCCCGGTCCTCACGCACGGGACGCGTCGAGCTCCCGCGCGGCCTTGGCCGCGCGCTCCAGGCCCGTGGGGTCGAAGTTGCTCCATTTGTCCTTGGGCGCTTGGCGCTCCCCACTGCCGCCCCCCGCCGCCCCGGGGCCGCCCGGCGCGGGTGGGAGGGAGAGGCCACCGCTTCCCCCCGCGTCGCCACCGCTGCCGCCATGAGCGGGACCCGCGCCGCGGTTCAGCCCGAAGAGCCACGACATTGCCCCCGCCACGCGCCGCCGCCGCCGCGCGCATGCGCCGCCGCCCTGCGCCGCCGCCGCCGCGCGCATGCGCAGCCGCTCGGCATTGGCCCGAGTAGTGGCGTCACGCGCGCGGTGACATCCCCACTGCGCCGCTGGAGGGCCGCGAGACGCCATTTCATTGGCTGCGGCGGCGTCCAGGACGGGCAGTGCGGAAGGACAAACTAGGTCGGGACGGCGCCCTAGCGACGCGAGCGTTAGGGCGTTGCTAAGAAGCCGGCGCGAAGATGGCCGCGCCCGGCGGGGCCTCGACAGGTACCGGCCCACAGGGACCCGGGGAGGTCCGGGAGGGTCCTCGGCCTCCCCCTCGACAGGCACCGCTACCAGCCCGCTCCCCACACCGAGCCTCCTCTGCTGTGTATTTCTTAGACCATTTTTACAGTAGAGTCTATTAATAGAGAGCAGCCTAGAGGCGTTATTAGTAAGACCGACTTTAAGAGCGTTTTGTAAATAAACACATTTTCTTACCTAGAAACAAGCTCGTCTCCCACCGTAGATGGGTTGGAAGAAAGTTTGCAGAAACTTCATGTCCAGGCAGATGGTTTTGCCTCAAGTCGGAGTTTTGGGACGGATCAAGATGGTGGCGCGGAGCCACACACTGCAGACAACAGCCCAAGCGCCCTTAGACCTGAATGGCTACAGATTCATAATGCAGCCTACGGGGGGCTGGGGCCTGGGAATAAGCAGCTTGCAGAGGCAGAGCGGTTCCTGAAACCACATCATCTCACAGAGTCTTTGGGCCAACATTCAACACCAAGAAATTTAAGTCTCCCGTTTTTCTCCGCATCTGCGGTCAGTCGTGTGGCCGGGCTTCTGGGAAGCGAAACCACAAGTAAAAATGATTTGCTCTTTACTGAGTCCTTTTCTGTAAAACTTGGAGTTCCACATGTAATTGGAGTCAAGTCTCTCTTACACCCACAAGTCCCAGTGCAAACTTGCTCTCATGAAAGAGTCACTTCTTTCTTAGACCAAGGCAGCTCTCCCTATGTTAAGCGTGCAGGGAGTTACCAATCCCGCTCATTTTCTCCCGCTTCCAAAAAAAGCTGCTGGCGACGGTCTCACTCTCAGTCTCCCAAATCCACCTGGAGGCCAAATTCAGCCCAGCCTCTGCCAAACTTTGGCAGAGTCAGGTGCAGCAGAAAGACGACAGCGTCAACCAGACAGTCCCGATCTCGATCGCACAAACTGCGCTCCTTGGCTGCCCAATCACACACTCCGACTAGGATGAACACAGGGGCAATACTGAGTTCCTCACGGAGCCCTTACAATCTGCCACCTGCCACCACATCCTTATCAACAACTCAGGACATTAATGGAAGGTAAGAAGAGTCTTTTGTAAGACAAGCTGCCCTAACAGCCTGAGCACCGAGCATTTTACTATGAATTTTACTAGGATTTACTAGCATTTCACTAGGAAGAGAGGGAGAAATATTACATTAATACCATTTTTTTTCTGAATTTTAGACTGTGTGGATGAGTAGAATAGAGAGGCAGCTTTGTAAGGGAAGATCAGAAATACAACAATTCTAAAGTGCCTATGTGTGTGCAGTCATTATTGTTCCTGCTGTTATTGCTTAGTGTCAGTGCTTTTGTCTTCCAGGTATGAGGTGAGAAGCTCCGAGTTCCATTATGAAGCCCACAAGGAATTGCTCAGTATTTGCTCAGAGGCAACCAAGACTTGCAGTCTACGTGTAACTGCGGACAGGAACTGAAGTCAGCACCCAAGAACCTCCTAGAGCATTAGAAAGCCACCCATCTGGACCCTCTAATAACACCACATAATGAAAGATTTTATTGACCTGTCCATGGAGAAGACACTGTCAGATATTTCAACCTTACCGTACGGAAAGGGTCACACACTGAACGCTTTAAAGGAAACAAAGAAACAGCCCCCTTACACACACACACTTAAGCAGCTAAATGGGCGAAATCCAGGCTTAAAAAACCTTTAGCTTTTTGCCAAAGGTGGCCCCTTCTTATCAAATAAGCAGACCATTCATTTACCTTTCTAAGGACGAAGAGAACAAAACAACAACTGTGTGCTTATGCTTCATGCAGAGAAATATTTTACTTTATGAAAACTATTTCTAATCAAATTGTTTRTAATGTGGAAAAAATATTAATGGGCCCCAAGGAAAATCACCTGTAGCAGCTGTATAGTCAGAAATACAGATAAAGCTCACGTATAAAACGCTGCAGCCTGAAGTGGTATGATTTGTAGAATGCCACCCACATCAGCTCTGGCTTTCAAAAGCTGGCCTGTGACAGGCTTTTCTTCCCTTACACTTTCCTGTTTCACCCAAAGCACTGACCTGAGTCCCTGAAAAGGGTGTCTGCCTCCTCACACCCCTGCCTACTACTGCCTTGAGCCATTAGTGCATCCTATTTGTGGTTGTACTTGGACATCTCAGTGCACAAGGGAAGGCTGCAAGCCAGTTGCATCTCTGAAGTCTTTTGACTTCAGGTCAATACAACTGAGCAAAATTCAGGAATGGGGAGAAATATGCTGACTGTTCCCCGCAGAAAATCACTGTGTGAATAGGTAATAGATGAGCTGGGTGGGATAGCTTCAGTCTAGGTCCTGAGGCATCAGGACCTACCTAAATGTGATGTTCAGAAAACGCACACTGTTGATGCAAGAAGGAAAAGGCATCTTGTGTTGCCAAAGAACACAAACTGATCACACTAGCAGTCCCATATAATCATTTTTAATATATTTAATATCTTTAATATTAAAGACTTTCATCTTTAATATTAATATAATCAATTAAAAAAAATACCCACATGCCTCAGAAGGTGCAAGGACCTTACATACAGAATACTTGGGAATAGCTTACCCTTTGACAAAGCTCTTCGGAGTCCCCATAGGCAGAATTGAACTCATATTAAGAGCCTTGATGGTTTGTACTCTCCTTCTATAAAGTTGTGTGGGTATCACACCCACTAATTCAGTGCAGATGAGATGCCTAAATAGCTTTAAAAATTGTTAAGTTTTTAGTTTAAAAGGAGTTCCGTTTAATTGTCTACGTTAACATGGCCACGCTTTGGTGAATACTACTACTTCAACCAAGATTTTGGGGTCATTTACTTTTTTTTAGCTTCTTATAAAACAATATTTCTCAGTAAAGCTGAGGTATTAGTAGGACAGGAATGATGTATTTCTAATTTATTAAGTTTAATGTAATTCAGACTATGAATTCATGGGCAGAATGCCTATTTTTCAGTCATTTTAAATGGAGATGAACACCAGCTTTTAAATCCAAACCTGTCCTTAGTTACACTTAAAAGATTTGTCCCTACAGCTAACAAGAACAAATCATTCCAACTCAATAGCTCTTGTGTTGTATATTTAATGACTTYTTCAAAAGGATGCATTACAATGCAGGGAAGAGAGGGAATGTTACTGAACAGAAAACTATGAAGGGAGTTTTGCAGAATTAAATAATCTCTGTTCTATGGCAAGATGAACAAGACAATGTTGAGATCATGAGAGATTCCAGAGGTTGCATCTTCCTCTCCCTATAGCCGCTATTCACCAAGCCATATTCCAAAGGAGAACACAAATCCTACATAATCTCCTTATTTAGTTAATGGGGGACTCATCTACCCCCCTATCCATCCTCTGCACAAGGAGACAGCCCAAGGCAAATACTCCATAAATTTAGATAGGTCAAGTTTAGCCCAAGGACAAGGTCAATGACAAAGTATCTCTCAGCTCCAAAAGGAACTGGCTTAAATAACCTGTAAGCAGTTACGGAGGGTTTGCAGGATGCAGTGACATTGCATAGGGGCTCTCCAAATGTACAGCACAGCTTAAAAGTGTTCCACATGTAAGACAAATAAGCAAAAAACTTAAACTAGAGCAAGCGTTACTGAGAGAACATATGTCCACTGATGCCACCACCACCCAAGGCAGATGACTTGGGGGGGTCTGGACACTTCAAAGTCCAGCAGAGAGAGAATAGAAGTGTATTGAAAAGCCTCAAGAACACAGAGGGCAGACCCTGTCCCCCCAGGCTGTCACCTCATTTTCAGACCAAATGTCAAGTGGCTTAATGACCTCTTTTAATCCTCTCTTCTGAAACCCTGGTGGCTTTGGCTTGATCTCCTCCGTGTACTGTTCAGTTTTGTATTCTGTTGTTGTTCTTTCTCCTAATGCTTTTTCCTTCTGTTCCCGAAATGGCCATTCTTCTGGGATGGTTAATCAGAGCTGCCTACAGGACTACACTGTTCAGCTGGAGGAAAGCTGTGTCAAGTACATCAATTTGGAGGTTATTAACAGTAGGAATGGATTTGGCTACTTGCATCCGTTCACTGAATGCAAGTGCCCAGAATAAAAGGCTAGTGCAATAAGCTATCGCATCTTGATTATGCTCGTAGACTGAAAAAATAAAATTATATCAACTTTTAATAAATAGAGAACAGGAAGCAAGCATACAATAATGAGGACTCATCCCTCTGCCTTTTCTTTGCTATTTGTCAGGCATAGCTACATAAGAGGGTAGAGATTTGGGATCTATCAGTCAGGTTGCTTGTTCAATCCATCTAAGGCAAACCTTGAGCTTTTGGGTGAGCCCTACCACAAGGACAGCCTTCAGGCTCGACAACCACCCACAGCTGATTCAACTCCATGCACAGAGCGGCCTGGGAGATGATCTGCGAGGTTTCCAGATCCCTCCTTCTCGTCCAAGCTTTTCACCTTGCCCTATGGGGGACCGTTTCACTCCAGTGCCTGTCATGCTCTCTGCCTGTGCTTATATCCTTGGGCTTCTGTAGCTAGAAAGAACACAAAAAGTACAATGTCAGTTTGACTGTTTGCTCTCCAGAGGGGACCAAGTCAGAGAACCCATCCTTGTCCTCATCTTCCCCAGTGCTCCAGCCTCTTATTGGGTCTGTACTGCCACATAGCTGCCTTTTAGCTCTCACTTCAGCCTGTTGGGCATCTTTGTGCAATATCACAGTAAGTGGCTTGTATGTAGGGGAAGGAGGAAGGCAGGTGCTTTGTGTCTCACTATCTGGTTAGTATTTTGGTTAGTATTTATAGCATAGCCTGAGAAATGCCTCCCAAGGTGAAAAGTGTGGAGCAGAATTCAAGAAACTTCCAAACAGAGCTTCAAACGCCCAGGCCTCTCCTACCGTGTTATCCCAAAGTGTTTGCAAGACAAGTCTCCCAATAGATACTTTTTCTCTTGTCTGCAACCCTAATGCCACCAGGAGGAGCATTTCTCTCAGCAATGGGGAAAGCAGCCCAGTTTTGAACAATCCCAGGTGGATAGCTGTGATGAAGCTATACTGACAAGTTAGCTGCTGAGCACAGAGTATTTCAGCCATGAGGGCTCCGCTGCGTTGAATCTCCAGCAGCTCCGTCCCCTTTGGGACACCTATTCCTGGCACAGGGGTCCCAGGAGTCCCTTTTGTCCCCCAGCTCACCTGGCTGCACGTGCACCATGTGGCACAGCCCTTTGCCCAGCTGGTTCTTGTACACGGGCTTCACGCAGACTTTGCTAGTGGTGCCTGAAGCCAGATCCGTGAGGAGCACGCTGTGGGTCTGCGGCGAAACGCTCATAAGGGAGGAATGGCCCGTCTGCCGCCGGCATCTGACCCGGTAACCGAGGACCTTCCCGTCGGCAGAGTCCCAGTAGGCTTTCACGGTGTTGGGGCCCATGTTCTCAAAGCGAAGGTGCCTCACCTTGGAGCCCTCTGGAGAAGGGAGAAGGCCCACATTACTGGGAGCCATTTGCACAGAACTGTCCCTCCCAACCATCATCTCTTCCTATCTCCATGTTGGAGGAGCTCGGGCTGCTCTTAATTAGTCTTTAACTACGTGCTGGTACCACAATTGTCTCTGGCCACCTCTCAGATCCTGAGCAGCTCTTTTCAACCTCTGCAATCTTTGTTCCCGAGTTCTAATTAAAGCTAGAGTTTGTCTCCTGGAGTATGAAGTATTTCTACAGGTAGCTTTGCAGAGCAGAACCTTCTGCTGATGAGACTTCTACCCAGTTACGCTAGACCATACCAAAGCACAGAAACCAAGAAGAGAGGAGGGAAAGGCAGTTGTCCTCCTCCTTTAAGGAAATCTAGGGACCTCTGAACCAGCTCCCCATCCAGTGACCAGCAGAGGATACTGCTCACTCACCTTCCTGAGTGCAGGCTTTAGCTGACAGGGATTTCTCCTGTCCCGATTTGTAGACTGCAGTCACTGTCACGAGATAGGTGGTGTTGGGCACCAGATTCCCCACCACAGTTCCATTGCGCGAGCCATCCACCTCCAGCAGCTCCACCGAGTTCCCAGGCAGCGGCCCATACAGGATCTGATACCCTGTCACGCTGTCCGGTGTGGGAGCCCAGCTCACGTGGAAGCTGTGTGGCTTGGACTTCGAGATGAGAACCTGGGCTGGACTGATTTCCTCTGCAAGCAGTGTAAAAAGATGTGAATGAGTGTGTAATTCATGGGATCAGAATGCTCTCAGAGGATTGTAGTTGACCTGCACTCTCTTTGGCTTCTAGGAGGTATAAGAAAATCTATTCAGCACTTGGATGTTTGTAGTCATCTGTGTCAGCACAACCCTGCTCAGTTCTAAGATGGTTTGTCCATCCACTGAGGGGACACAGTGAGAACAGAGTGGCAAAACTACTTAGCCAGATGTGTTCCCACATGCAAAAAGGGCAATTGATGCACTGCAACTTGTGCAAATTCATCTTGGCATTGTCACTCCCCTCTTTAGATCCGTAACCTATTGGTTTATTTTAAATGTTGCCATCTGATGTAAATCCGAGTTATTTTTCTTGCTCAGTTGACTAGTCTACCTACAGGGGCCAACTCCTGCTCTAAGTGCGAGCTGCTCTCACACAGGGATTTCCCAGCAGTGGATACGTGGGCCTGGAGAAGCAGCATGTGCTTGTCGAGCAGGAAGCAAAAATCTCTAGCTCCTGTAAGATCTGCTCAGGCTATGGGAGTAACATTCCCACATCAGTAACCCATACAGTGCAACACTGCTGCTGCTTGATGCATCATACTTGGATGGTGAGTAAGGGCTCTGGCCTCTGCTTTCCCCAATATATACAGATTTTAAGCCTGGAAGGGCATCTTATGGGCATGAAACCTGATACCCTTTTCTGGGCAGTCCAGAAAACCTCTCTAAGGAAAGATGTGCCAGAGGTTACCAGCACAAAGATGCCACCTACTTGCTTCATTCTGCCCTGACCATAAGCATCTGTTTAAATCCATCTACCTCTTCCAGTCACATCATGAGGGAGTGGGGTGCAGACCAAGGGCTGTCCTGCTCACTTTCTATCTGGAAGGCTCAGTTCCGTGGTGCCCTCCCACCCGCTCAGGGTTGTGCACATTTTACCTGCCAGCGTTGTAACCTTTGTTGTCTGGGGAGGGATGTAGTGCACGTTGGATTCAGGAATGAGGGCCACCTGATAAGTGGTTTCCGGGGAAAGATCGCTCAGCACGAGGGTAGTGTGAGCCCCAGGAACTTGCTTTGTCCTCTTTCGTGATGGATCATCTACTGGGGAATATTCCAGGGTGTAGTAGCCAGTTTCTTGGGAGAGGACTTGGGGCCACATCAGACGGAAGCTGCTGGAGGTGATATCCACTGCACGAAGCCGATTGGCTTGGACAGCATCTGGGGGAAAAGTGGCAAGAAATCACTACAGACATTTATACACACAACACAAGTACATCTGAAACACAGGCCCTTCTGGATGCAATCACCCATTTCAGCACAGATGGCAGCGAAAACCACGTAAGTGCAGCCGGGTCCCTGCACAGGCAATACAAGCCTACCTTGTCCCAACCATCAAAAAATCTAGAACATCCAGCAGGTTCCGGGCAGCCCCCGCTGCCCCACAGCTGTGGGAGCTACTGTATGTGGCCAGGTAGGCACTTTCCTACACTCAGCAAGTCACCACCACTGCCTGCTGAAGTCTCAGTTGCAGAAGCTGCTTGAGAGATAAGTGATTTTCCTTCTTCCCTCTTCCTACCACCTCCAGATGAACAAACCTTCCTCCTCTGTGACAGAAGTCAGGTATCCGGGTGCCTAAATCCTTGGAGAGAGCTAGCCCCAAGATCCAAGTGGAAACCACCTCTTAGCCAAACCAAACAACTAAATTTTATTGTCCATGTGAAGTGGCCCAGCATGGAAGGGACATATTTGATCTTTGCCTTAACTGAGGAAGAAGAGGCAACAACTGGGCGCGGGCCAGCATTGCTAGACATGCTGCATTCATCCCAGCTGAAGTCATTCTCCACAGAGGGTCACAGAGCCGCATTGTGCCACAGAGCCCCATTGTTCCATGACATTCAGTGTTCAGAGACACTCTTGTGCTGTCTTGCCTCTCCCTATGCTGAAGCTTGTCATCAAGACCCATGCTATCTTTATATTTCAGACCACAAATGTCATCTGTGGATACTGAAGTCCTGCAGTCCTCTCAGATTCCTCTACAACTTTACCCTTCGGTCACATTTGGTCATTGGAGCCCATCTTGGGTGCGATTTCCCTCTTCCCTGCCCTTCCAGAGGGCTTTGTTCCTAGCTCAATGGAAGTGCCAAATGAAGACATTTAGGAAACCCTATTTGCTGACAGAGTATAAATGCATGCAAGAGCCCTACAGAAGTGCCTTCGCTTTGCATAGCACCACTTCTAACACCTCCTGATTGGCATTTAGCTCAAGATTAATTACTTTAGAGTGCTCTAAGTATCTCTCACTGGCTATCCCTCACCCAGAGGGGAACAGAATAACATAAATCTGCCCAGACCTACAACAGAATGACCAAATGCTCTCAGACTGGTCCCTGCACAGGGGCAAGACCCACTCTTCTCTGCGCTGCTCACCTCCCTACTGACTTCCCTCTATCAAATGGAACAGCCTCATTTTTTTCCTCCAAGCTGTTCTCTGGCTCTCCCAGGCAGGCAGGAACATTCCCCTTCTCTGTGCTCTGTTCCACACGCAGCCAGGTCCCTCCGCCCTGCTGTGTGTGGAGGAGCTGGAGGGTGGAGGCCACCATGGAGCCTGAGGTACCATGAGTAGCTCCCGGTGAACAAGCCACGAAGGATGAAGGAACAGGGAACAGGCCTGTGCGCCAAGGAGTCCAGGAATGGAAATAATCTTCATGGAGGCACAACCCACAGAAACTGAGAATAAATCAGGCCAGTTAAAGTGTCAGGGTGAAGCGCCTGAGGGACCTGCTGTACACAGGCTGCAACCACCTGATCTGCTCCTGGTTGCCCAACTGCAGATGCCTTCACCATGTACAAGAGCTGAAATGGAATAATAAAGCCCCAGAAAATAGATGATCAATAAGCTGTGGCCATGGCCAGCACCAGATGCAAAAGAGCAAATCCATCCACAGTCCCTGCCTTTTTCCTTTCTGTGCAGTTGTGTTACTGGACCTGTCCCACTGCCACCATCTCGAGAAGGAATCCAACTTCTCCATTTCAGCACCCACCATATTCTCAAAACAGGGAACTGAGGCAGAGACATCCCATTTCTTGGCCTCAGAGGAGCTTACAGTGGCCAGGATTTCAATTTGGAAAGTTGAGGACCTTTTGTCGCCATGTCCTAGTAGTGGCTTCCATGCTGGCTCAGACTTAGCTATAACAGCTCATTTGGTTATTTGCCTGCTCAGATCTGTTTGAGGGCAAACAAAACGCTTCCTGCCTGAGCAGCCCCTATATAAACGTCTCTACACCTAATAAAAGATACAGCAGCAGAGCTCAAACTCCTTCCTGGCGTGTTCGTGGCAGGGTTCAGACCTTTGCATGGAGAGTTCTTGATCTACCTAAGACAGTAACAGCCCTGTGGCCAGGGACTGCTGCGTGGACACGTCTATGCAGCAGGGATGAACACACACCCTTCCTYACAGGAGATGAAGGGAGGGAAACGGCTCATTTCTTAACAAGGCTCCTTTGTGTAGCTACAGAAAAGCTTTTACAGAGCAGAGTTTTGCAGCAAGAGATTGTGATAAGATAGCAGTGATAATTAAACCAGTCTGGGCCATTCCAGACTTGGAAAGACCTGGTTCTTACTCCCGTCTCTGCCAAGGATCCCATTTGTCCCTAACATCCTCGTGGTGCAATGAAAAGGGTGATAATGGGGAATTCCTCCTCCAGGCAGGGAAGGATAATAATATATGGCATTATTAAGGCTAAGGTATGTGATGATATCAATATCTGGCATTTTGCTTAAAGCACCAGCCTCTGGATTGATCTGAGAATCTCACCTTCCATTAAAATCCCAGGCTAGAAAGTTTTAAATGGGGCGGATGTGAAGAACTCTGCCCTCAAATACAAGTATTTATTATTTCTGCAGGTCTTATGACCTTTAAGCTGGTCTTTTGCTGGAAGGATTCACAGTGTTTTCTCATTTCTGAGGCTATTTTATACTACCTGGATACATTAGAAGTTGAAACAAGAAAAACACTAAAAACCATCTGGCACTTACGAGGTGTCTGTGTGGCACCTGATACTGCTATACTACTGATACTGAACTGCTATTGCCCCAGTCTCATACAGGAGAGAGGTAAATGGTCACAGGAGAACACAGTTCCCATGTGCCATTTTCTAAATGACTGTGATTGGAAATTAAATAAAAATGCTACATTAAGAGGATTCTGCACAAAGGGTTACTTGGACACACCAGTCAGCTTTAACCAACTCGCAGCAGAAGCCAAGCGGGGAACGAAAACAGGATTTTCAAAGGAGCGAGAACCTCCAGGATGGAAAGTCTGCAAAGCCATAGTAACTCGCTCTGCTTTCCAAACAAATCCAGAGGCATCTGCAGACTGAGGCAAGAACCTAGCTTGGCAACGACCGGCACACCCAGGGCGATGGCACTCGGGAACTGCAGAGAGGACGTGCAGTGCAACGTGCAGCTTAGCATGAGGCGTCCCTCCTGCTGCCCAAAGCCTGTCCCGCACTCCATTTTATGCCTTTGGGGCCTCCCTAGGCCCTTTCATGGATGCTTAAGACTGCTAAAAATCAGATTCGCTGTCTGTTCTTGCTCACTGCACAGCAGCGGCTGTAACTGTGAAGCACTAGAGAGGGAGCAGCTGGACGCTGCAGCCTAACAAGTCGAGACTGGGAGTTTCTGCCAAGGGCTGCGCTAGCCAAGCCAAGCTATAGATCYGGCCTACGCAGAACACGTTGTAACAAGGGATTTATGGAACAGAAACATTCCTCGCTACAGCCTTAATGCTGATAGGAACCACCATTCTTAATTGCTTTTGGCAAAAGAACACCAACTGCCAGCCTCTCCGAGGCAGGAGTTAGAGGTCTGCGTGCCAACCACTGTGCCTGCACATGAAGGTAGACTGAGGAAGTCAGACCTGTCCTAGACAGTGTCTACCTATTTGTGTCCTCCGCTTCCATAGGAGTTCTTGTGGACAGGCATCATTTCAGAGAAAAATAAAACGATTCTGAATATGAAAATTGGGCTCAAGGGGTCCTGAACACCTTGCTCTCATGGGCAACAGCCTCCTCTTTGCAGCTAAACCACTCCCTGGTTTAGCTAACAATTAACCTGTGCAGGTAGGAGCTAAGGCCTCATGTATTTTCATGCCTGGCTTGAATTGCAGGGAAGTCAGTGACCTGCATAATTCCTTTCAAAGTCTTGTGGGTTTTAAAGGAATCCAGACAACGTGTTGCCTGGGCTGCTTTCCATCTCTCACGCTAGATACCTCATCACAAACACAAGCTCAGCTCATCTATAGGGCTGCAGAAAGGAACACATCCCAGTCACAGGAGCATCCAGTTGCAAGAGATGCCCCAGACCTCCTCAAAGCCTTGGAGCATCCAGCTCCATTGCAATGTCCCAGTGACTATATCCCAGCCTCACTATACCTGAGATGGCATCTTGAAGCTCCTTTGTGATGATGGGCAGGTCATCAACATCCACAAAGTGCAGGTGCTTCTCAGGAGGTTGGCTGGCAGCAGCAGAGAGCTCCAAATAATTCCCCCTTCCAGTGCTGACAATGAAGACCGTTACCCCCATGTCCTTGAGGAGCTGCATGGGTTCAGAGATGTCATCGGTGGAGAAACCATCTGTCACCCAAACCATGACCTTAGGCACATCTGGCCGGGCACCAGCTTCATTGCTGAAGAGCTTTTCCTTGGCATAGGAGAGCGCTTTGCCTGTGTTCGTGTCACCCATCAGCTGCTGAGTGTCCCGGATGGCTTGTTGCACAGTCCCACTAGACAGGTACCGGTCAAAAGGGAATTCCATGGTCGGTGTGGTGCTGATGTGGATGATGCTGGTCTGGACATCATTGGGGCCAAAAGTGAAAGGTCKTATGAGGTCCCATATGAATTCCTTGACCCTGGAAAACTCATAGTTGGAGACACTACCAGAGCTGTCCAGCAAGAAGAGGAGGTCTCCCTCTGAACCAGAAAGAGAAGGCTGGGGACCTAGCAAGAAAAGAAAGAGTGGTTAGTGGTGTTAGCCCACATCTGCATGGGCATCTGCAAGGAAAGCTTAGTTATCTCGGGCCAGGCCTCGGAATTCTGTGGTAATTTTGCTGGGTAGAGGCCTCCTGATGTGACATTTTTATTATTCTCCCTTGCACCCGGTGGCAGGGCTCCTTAGTCCTGCTGACATTCCCCTGGGGCATCTCAGCCAATCTGTCTAGTGCTCTGTCTCTGCTCAGAACAGCTTTGCTTAGACTCGTCCGCCTGATCGCAACAGATCCTTGCTGAACACTCCGAGATGCAAACACGGCCTAAAGCACTAGCCAGAGGTCTGCGTCTGGCTATTCAAAGACTGAGTTCTCTTAGCACATTTTGCATCAAAGTATATTGCCAAAAAAAAAAGGGCTCCTGTGAACAGCAAGCTGATTCCTAAGTCTCCTGAGCTCCTAGAACCTGGATGGGTTACAGGATCATAATGAGTAAGAGGGAAAAATGTGAACAAGCCTCTCCACCTCCACTTCACTGCATAGCAGGTCTGTGAAGTCACCCGGATTGGATCACTGGCTCCTCACTGCTTTCCGTGCCTGTGGGACAGCCTTATCTGGGCCCTGCCCCATGGAGTCACTGCAGGGACACTCATTGCAAACAGAGCCAGTCTCAGCCCGGCCGAGCTCCACGTGCCCACGTGCTCTTGGCAAAAGCTCAAAACTACAGTCAAATCCGGCTTTGTGGAAATCACTCCTTTTATGGGCAGATTCTGCCCCTCTCTCCAATGAATTCTCCTTCAAGGAGAGGCCGGGGGAAAGTGCAGGATCCCCCCTGTCAAGTTACTGCTTGGATAGCTAGAGAAAAAACCCAGTCATGAAACAGCAGAGGAGAGAAGCCAAAAGACTCTGCAAATCCAGGATGAAATGCCCAGCTTCTCCCTGGTGTCTGGCTCCTGAGAAAATGCAGTTCCTTATGGAATGGGGAAGGGATGAGAGCCTAATATTCCTCTGACCCAAATTCAACCAAGATGCACAGCAGATGGGAGTAGAACTACTCTAAATACTACTGGAGCAGGACAGAGAAATCTTCTCCTTCACGCCAAGCTCACCTCGTCACTCTTGCATTCTGCACAGGCACAGGGGGCTGGGAAGGAGCAGGGATCCAGCGCAACCAGATCCAATTGGACCTGGCAGTGCAGGGACAGCGGGAACAACAGGGGCTCTGGCTCCTGGATACCACATCGACCCCGGAGCTTAAAGCATTGTAGAGACTTGTGAAACCTCAGGGTACTTTTGCCAAGCCTGTGTTATTAATCTATTATAGATGAACTAAAAGCCCAGGGCCTTGGGAGGAGGCAGCTGCTCAGGCACAGAAATGGCAGCAGGGATCCAGGGATCCAGGTCCTGCTCTCACTGTCTCGGGGCTTTGAGGCGCTCTGCCTCGCACATATACCTCTTGTTACACCTCAGGCCGCTCCCCAACACATTCTACTCTAAGCCAGAGATGGACATATTCCAGAAGCTGGGAAAATTTCTCATAAACCTGAATCAGTGAGTATATTATCACTTTCTTACCCAGGGATAGGAGCTACACTTCCACGAGGCAAAGTCATTTGTGCAGAGTACAACATAGGAGTCTGTACAAGGGAGAACTTGCTGTGCAAGAGAGGGCTGGAGTCATTATTTGACCCATTTTCTTGCAATTTCAACAAAATACTCCATGGGAAGCATGAAAACGCCTTCTTACCACCTTAGACCTTGAGATTTCTAGTATCTGGAATATCAGTAATGATTTGCAGGTTCTTTTAGCTGCTCCTCTGTTTTCTAGCAGCTTTTGAGGTGCAAAAGCAGAGAAAAAGCCTTGGATCAGAGATCTTTGCCAACACGTTTAGGCTCCTCTACCAGCAACGGAATGGGAATGCGGGATGGCTGAGCAGTGTGGGCGCTGGGGCATGGGTGGACTTGGTGCAACATGCACTGAGCTTGTGCTGGAGTCATGCACGGGAGCCAGAACTGGGCTGGAGACAGCCAAGTGGAAAAGCTCCTGGGGAATTAATTGCTCCAAGGGAAAAAAATATCATGCTCACAGCTCCCTGTGCCAGCTCTGCAAAAGACATGCTAGGGCAGGCCCCGAGACAGCAGCAGACTTGGCAGGAATGAGAAGGGTGTTGCTGGGCCCGAGTGAGAATGAGGAGAGGACTCAGAGGCAGGTGCAGGACAGCAAAACCAGGGGAAGGATGGACCCTCCAGAAAGGGAGGGCATTAAAGTTACTTGGAGGTCACTAAGAGATGCTGGGGAAGCATGAGTGGGCACCTGAGATCTGTGTGATCCAGCACGACACAGCCCTCACATGCACACCTAGCAACTCAGCATTTAGGACTGGGCCGAAAAACTAAAGAAAAATCCATTGAGTTTTCTTTCTTACCCACTACAGGATGAAATTTCATCATAACATCACATGGCAAAACCAGTGACTTCTGAGTGCCACCAGTTCCTCAAGCTCCTTAATTCCCAACAACATTCCAGCGGGGCAGAGCACGAGGGGATTTTAGAGCTTCTGTCCGTGTGAAGCAAGTTAAAGGTTTAGCCCCGGCTTTGTGCTTTGCCTTCAACTGGAAGGAGCACAAGCCATTTGGCTGGCAAGCCATACTGGAAGATCTAGGCAATGTGACTGCCTCTTCCTGACATGAAATCATCTGTTTCCCTTCTCCCCTCCATTACCCACCAACTTGAGCAGTGTCGATCCTATCCTGAGTGTTGCAACAAGCAGCTGTGAAGGCTTCTGGCCCTGGCAGGGATGGGATTGGTGACCAAAGGACATTGCTCATGAGTGATAAACAAGGTCACGTGCACCAGCAATTTGTGAAAGGAATACATCAGAAGGGAGCAGAACAAGCAAAATCCCCCTCCTGCTGGAATTCCTGGCCAGGGGCTGAAAACACCATGGGATGTCTGCTCCAAAGGGAAGGGAGCGCAACAAGGCTTATAAAGTGACCAGACACTCCATCATGCTTCCATCAGGTTTTCAGTTCCTTCATCCTTCTTCCCATTTTTTGTCCTTCATCCAATACAGACATGTCATCCACACCAGAAGCGGGACTGTGGATCACTAAATCTCTGCATTACGTAAACGGTTGCTGTTTTAGGCAGTTTCCTTGCTTTCCAGCAAAAAAAAAATTGGATGTTTGGCAGGATGCTGAAGGAAGACTCCTCGCTCGCTGTGGGACTGCGAGAGAAGGGATATCCATTAACATCTCCCTGCTATCAAGCACATCTTCCTGAGCTGTCAGGCCTCGGCTTCTGAAGAGCTGAGGAGAAATTTGACAGAATTTTGTCACTGCTGCTCTGAATTTTACTTAAATCCTGGGAAAACAGCCAACAGGTGACATTACCCTGTTGTCACCCTCTAGCTGGCACCCGGTTGATGGATGCAGATCAGCCACACAAGGAAGCAGTTCAGGGAGATGAGTATGGGAGCAAAGCGTCACCACAGAGCTGTTTTCCAGGCGGAAAGCAGCTGGTCAGACTTCCCCCGCTGCTCTTTGCTGGGATGTTGACAGGGGACATGTGCTCCAGGCCCCCCTGCACTCTCAGCTGGGACCTAAACACCACATATCTGATGTATGTGGAACTCAACTCACACATCAGAGCAGATTTAACAGCCAAAAGAGACCGTGTTCTGTCCCAGTAACTCTGTTTCAAGCTCTGTGGTTGTCTTCCCTGCTTGCTGTTCGGCCATGGATGTTTGCTTGGGCTGCAGGCTGCCATGTTCACCTCCATAGCAGCAGAAACGCATGAAATAACTGCTGTCCTGGTGCAGCATCCTGACACGGTGCCAGAGGCAGCAAAAATAGCCTGCCAGTTTGTCCTGATCCTGCTCTATAACTTGAACCACTGAGGGATAGAATCCATTGCCCAGTGGATCCTACCAACTATTCATAAACCAGCCCCACGTGCTTGGCCATCGCAGTGTGAGCTGAGTTGTTCACTCACAGCTACAGTGAAGGTAACAGGACCGAGACTTTCACCTCCTTGTCCCTCTCCTTAATGCCAGGTCTGTGACATTGACCCGTAATCGTTGTCCTGTGCTATTTTCACAGAGCACAAGCCAAGAGAAATAATTTTAACATGGAAATGTAATGATTAAATTACAGAAATTAGCAAGGAGTAGCAGGACTAGCATAATATCAAGACTGTTTTTACTTCTCTTAATAGAGATGCCCCTAGTTAACAGTAAGGAGTCAGGAGTCTTTCCATGTGATCGTATCCGTCTCAGTAAGATTTCCAAACACTTTCATTTCTATTGCAGGGAAATAAAAATCAGATAAATTTTCTTTTATGCTGGAAAGTAACATAGATATATAAGCAAATATCTAAAGCAACAAGAAAACTAAAAATCAGCTGTTATTCTGAGAAAGCTTTTGGGAAGGAGGTATCAAATGGGGTCATGCGGAAAGGGAATACCAAGCACTCACCTCTCTTAGGTGTGTCCTGCCCTGCAGCAAACTGCAGCCACAGACCAAGAGAAAGCAGAGTCTTGGCCAACATATCAAAAGCGGGTCCCAGGCAAACTACCGTAAATCCAGAAGCTTGGTGCTGCGAAGGCAGATGAAAGGCTTAAGATCAGTCATATTATGCACGAGGATCCACCAGGTCCCAGAGTGCCACTTCTGGACTGCTCACGCCTTGCGTTTCGACCGCCTCTTTATGTGTTTTGCTGGGCTGTGGTGGAGTCTCTGGCTCCTGAAGGCAATTTTCCTCCCTGCAATCCCGCCCCCCTTTTCAAGTCATAAATCCATCCTGCTGGGAGCAGCCGGAGGAGAGGCAAGAGGAGTACCCGGCTGCTGCTCCCCAGGAGCGTGGATTCAGCTGCAGGCAGCCCAAAYGCAGCTGCGCTGGGTTAGGAAAACATATCCCTATAGAGGAAACGTCGGCCCTGCAAGACGCTGGCAGCAGGCCAGCGAAGGAAGGAAGCAAAAATAAATATATAAACAGATAAACCCAAAGCTTCTCCCTCTCTCTTCTGGAATGAACTAGAAGGAGAGAGGAAAACATGTGCATATAGGAATGGAAAAGTAGAGAGGACAGAGCCTGTGCCCTGCCCTGGCAGTATTGGCTAATCCTTTGGGAGGAGGCAGGCAGAGCGTTCCCAGGTCCTAGCGCTCCTCCGGCTCCCACTCCCTGCCCCTTGGCTGCCCAGGGCCCAGAGCCAAAACCGACYGGAGCAACGCAGTATCTGCCAGCTTTACCTTGCAGACGTCACCAAGAAGCAGAGACCTGCAGGAAAGCAGACACTGTCAAGGAGGTGGCGTCATCTGTGTGGAGAAGAGCACCAGGTAGCATCTCTGGTCCTAAAACACCCTGCTAAATACCCACTCATTACCTCATTTCAGTGACAGAGTTAAAAACAGTCTCAAGTCTTTGTCCAGGTCTTGAGGCAAGGAGCCACACGCCTAAAGATAAGTCTGTGACAAATATCTTACTGGATAGAGGGGGAGCCTGCATGGACCAAAGAGCTCAGGTTTAACGTTCATAGTCATGTAGTTGCTGTTCACCTCCTCACCTCCCCATACACAGGCAAAAGGGAGTGTTTTGCTCAAGAACTAAGTATTGACCAAATCTGGTGCCCTTTCTCAGGTCTGTCCTCCTGTCTGGGTCTCCACTCTTGGCTCCAGCTCATCAGGAGGATGTGAAAGAAATCCCTTTCTCTTCTTTCTTCAACTTCTTGGTCCTGTTTACCTGTGTCTGCACAAGTTTTACGCGTTTAGTTGTGCCAGCCTAATCTCAACTACAGCCTCAACTACAGTTGGGCATTTTCCAATACATGATCCCAAGCTGTTCTTCTCTTCTATTCTTATCACACTACACATGGAAAGTATTTTTCAAGGGATTTTAGAAGATCAGACATTTAGCTAATTTCTATGGCCAAAGGCATGAAGAAATATATTGCATGTGCTACTCCAGGACAGATCTGAGACATTATTAGTAGAGAGAAGATGGAAAGTTACAGCTAATCATGATGACAGCAGTTGAACCTCATCTCATTTAATAAGGAGAGTGACCAACAAGAGAGGGCAAAAAATAGCCCAGGAGGAAAGTTTAGACATCTGTGGGATTTCTTTAACTGGTGAGCAATATTGCCCTGACTTGATTTTGTCACTCCTGAGAGCTGCATGAAATAAGCAGGAATTATGTGCAAGGAGACTGTGCAGGTTGGAAAGAAATTTGCATCCAAACCCATCAAGCAAAAGCAAAGCAAGGACAAGCCCAGGAAATCATATCCAACTGAGGAAACAGAGTCACTTAATTAAACATTGGGGCTGAATGGGCACTTGTTTAGGCTTTTTCTCCCAGCTCCATTGCAGGAAGATGAGGGGAGTTTGGGACTCAAGCGCACTCCGAAGAGCTTTGCACACAGGCTGTACGATTCCTCATCCCATGTATAGTAACTCTATACAAGTGACTCAGCCTCAGCCCATGACTGATTCATGCAGGCTGGAATAAGTATCAACCTGGAATTTGGAAGAGTTAAGGCATCTGCTCTCACACCTACATCCTGGGGCTTGTAAGACCCCCTCTAAGATGGTATTTGGATCCTGGTGGCAATAGACATCATGGAAAAGCACTGCTTGTAGTCAGTTCTCCTGAGACAGGGAGCCAGGCTTCCCAAAGGGATGCCCTCCCAAAATCAGTGAGTTTGGATAAAGGCTGCTGTGTCTGACCGTAGGCACGCTGGACTTGACTGCTGCCTCTGATGTCTCAAGGGCATCCTTTTCCAGTGACTCAGTGTGGTTTGGGCCCTTTTCAGTATTTCCTAGTTCTCGCAGTGAAGTCGAGGGGAAGTGCAGGTGCTCTAGCAAGGCAGCTGGCAGCCTGCACTCCCTCTTGACTGGCAAGGGAAGACCACACAGCAAAACAAAGCAAGTCAGGAGTGATGCTCTCCAATGTCCCCAGCATCTCTTGGTCCCACCATCAACGCTGACATAACCTCTCTTGCAGCCCGTGAAATCAAAACCCTTCCCCATGTCACTGATTCCAGTCTGCTGCAGACCCTGCTTTCCCTCTGCAGATGCAGATTCCTGCTTAGCCTAGGTGCTTGTGCATTCACCATGATGGCAGCCAAGAAGGCAAATGGCTTTCCGAGCTCCTCTTGAGCAGGGGTCTTGTTTAGCCATTTCTTGTTCCTTGTTGGTAGATGATTTTACTTGCTAGACTCATAGTGGTTGTATTCAGGACTTAAGGCATAGGGGGGAGCAAGTGGTGCCCCACATCAACAATCCATCTCTCATGTCCTGGTCTGGACACAACCACCTGCTCTTGTTCTATCCCCTTGCTCAAATGCCCACAGACCTCTTCACAGAACAGAAGAGCAAAATTCATAGGCTAGAACCACAGGGGACAAGTTCAGATCCGCTCCCCCCTCCCCGGCAGCTAGAGCCAGTGATAATATGGGGAAGACTTCATTCCATTACTCACTTCCCGAGGAACTATTCTAAGATGAGCAATACTTCCATCAAAATAATTTCCCTTCGTCAATTTATCAATATAAATACCATCCAGTCTCACCTCCTAGAGAGCTTCCAGCCTTTATCTTCCCATAAACCCCTCTGGAGTATGGAAAAGCAGGAAAAAACAGTCTGGAAAATAATTAGATCTTGCACAATTTTCTTTTATTTTTAAACTCACTGTAGTGGCCAGATCCTGTTTCCAGTAAGACTAATACATGCACATAACGCCACTTTCCTACTTGATACATCCTGCACTCTGAGGCCAGCAGAGCTACTCTAGCTTTGCTCCCGTTTGAGCTTTTCCAGAATCCAGCTGCAGACATCAGCTTAGTGCCAGCTTGCTGTCACTGGCAAGCTCAGGTCCTCCAGCTGTCATCACCTTCACCAAAATTTACTCACATCTTCATGCCATTCTAAATCACAAAGCAGCTCAGGAAGAATAAATGATCAAAATCATATATTTTTTTATTGTGATATTACTGAGTGCTAGCAGAAGTGGCCCCATTTCAGTGCTTCACAAGGCAACTTCTCAATGCACAGTCCAGATACATGTCCATACTTTTGTGTAGCACAGGCCTCCAGTCCTACACTGCCTGGTTCCACATACAGGAAGGCTTTCACAGTGCACTACAGATGCCATGGCATTCAGGACATAAAAATTATATGTAATTTCTGGGCAGATGCAACCTGCTCTGAGACAAATTATCACAGCTGGAACAAACAGGCTTTTGGAGACACAGCCTCCTTCAGCTCTCCACAAAAGCATTTGTTTGAAGGAGTTTACACATGGGAATGTAGGAATTCCCCACTTGGGAGCAGAGCGCAGCAGCTCTGAAGCAGACGGTAGCAGCTCCCCTGGAACCATAGGGGAACCTATTTGTGTAGCCCAGCACAAGTGGACGGCTCCCCGCAGTGCCAGAAACCCCACGTGGCTGCATGTACAGGGCGCTCAGCTTCAAGGCAAGACTTCTAGCAGTTCCTACCGAGCCAGCACAGCGCTAGTTTGGGGGCATCAGGGAGCAACCGACTCACCAACATCATCCACAGCTGCCTCGGGCTCTCCTGCAAACACCAACCACCCCAATGCCCTGCACCGTCTTATGCCCAGCACTAAAAACTGCAGGCTCCATTCTTGGAGATGGTGAACTTGAAACTGCGCTGGGCCCAGAAATGGCATTCTGACTTACAACAGAAAGGTTCTGCCCCTGCTTTTCAAGGTCTCAGTTAACAGTGTATCAGATAGTCTCTCGGCTCAAGCCAGCCCTTGATTGTGTTTCCCACGGTGTAATGCAGTAGGTTTCCAACGCAAAGCATGCAGCAGCATTGCACTAATGAAAAACATCAGAAGTTAAATGAGAAAAATGCAGCCACCCATGTTGGGCTGGTACCAGGACATGGAGAAAGGCTGTTTCCCATCRCAAATATCAAGGCACTGGCTATGAAGCCAAAGACTTCCAGGAAAAGAGCCTGGTAACATCCACAAATAGAAAAGTACTTTTGAAACATCACCCTGTGTGAGCACTCTTGCTGCTTCCCTCTATCCTTGCATCGTGCAGATCATAGTTTGAATTCTCCCAGAGGCATTTGTTCAGCATATTTGGAAATGCAGCAACATTTCAAAATGAAAGAATTTTTTGAGAACACACAGGTAGCCCCAGGCACAATGTCTGGAACTAGAGTAGCTCTTGGAGCCATTTCTAAGTAGTGGGAGACCTGGATGCAGCTCTTTTTACCAAAAGCTTCTCTTCGCACAGTATCATTTCCCTTATTGCTTGACTGTTTTCCCCTATCTCCATCCTGTTAGGAAAGTCCAGACAATATGGGGAAAGCCAAATTTAAGAGAACCTCCTCAGAAGTAGGGTTTCCTGAGTAATTTCCAGCCACAAAAGGAAATTGCAGCTTCTTTTGAACTGCAAGTTCCACAGCAGTTCAAAAATTGTCACCACTTGAGGAGTCAGCTTGGGAGGGGGAAGACCATTTAAAGCAACATGTTTAAGGCATCATTACAGCCTAACACCTCTGCAGGCTCTGCTAGAGAATTGGTAGGTCCAAGTTAACTCTGTTGTCACTTATAGCAGCTGACCTGAATCACAGCAAAGATTCTACTTTTTTTTTTTTTTTTTTTTTTTTTTTTTTTTTTTTTTTTTGGCTCCAAAAGTAGCTGCTGCATAAGGAAAGACCATCAAGGCAGCAGTCTTCCCCCATGAGGTCTAAGCTTCCAGCAATTTTCTTTCCTTAAAAGAAAAGCAGCACCTAGATATAGCACACAGAACTTGATTCAGCGCTGGGCTCTGGATACAGCTCATGAGGTTCTTTGTATTCTGTACTGATGCTTCAAAGCCAGAGCAGTTGGACAACGTTGAAAGGAAGCTCTCCACTACAGTAGTCATGGGTCTGAAGCCACATGCCAGTTTATGTAGCAGGTTTACCGTAGACAGGTCTGTATTAGTCAGCTTTAACTCACCTATAGAAAGAGCTAAGATCCAAAACAGGCAAAAAGCCTTACTTGAATCTAAGAGCCATGAGGGAAAGGGGGAAGAGAACTTCCTACCATTAGGAAGCTGCTGTTCATGTTAGGAAGTGGGACTTGGAACAAGGAGGAAAGCTTAGACCCAAAGAGTCCTGGGTTGAAAACTCTGTTGCATAAACATACATACCCAGGAAACAAGCATGAGGAGCAAGGAGTTCAGCTGGGAAATGCTACTGCCAACAACTATCCCTCTCATCAGGAGTCCTGTCAGCTTTGTCCTCCTCCCACATCACACTAGGGAAATAGTTGCAATTCCAGTGGGCTATAAAGAAAGAAGTGACTTGACGGAAGCAAAGCAAGCAGAACAATTCCCATCTATTTTTGAGGATAAGAGACTTCTGTTCTAGCACTGGGTGTTGTAATGCCTGGGCTAAAGTCAAAAAAACAATAAGAAAAAAAAAAAAAAGCCATGAAGACCCAAATACACCACATTCCCTCACAAGCGACTGGTGCCATTAGAAGTGACCCCCTTGCCCTTTGCCTTCCTGTGACTGCACAGTCTTCTGCTGCAGAGATGGTTTGATTCTTCAATGAGGAAACATGGTGGACAGTGATAGGACTAGAGGAAATGGCTTCAAACTGAAGCATCAGAAGTTCCACAGGAACTTAAGGAAGCATTTCTTCACTGTGAGGGTGACAAAGCACTGGAACAGGTTGCCCAGAGAGGTTGTGGAGTCTCCTTCTTTGGAGATCTTTAAAACCTGCTTGGATGCAGCCCTGTGCCACGTGCTCTAGGTGACCCTGCGTGAGCAGGGGGGTTGGACTCGATGACCTCTGAGGTCCCTTCCAACCTTCGGCATTCTATGATTCTATGAACATCATACAACTGGGATGAACACAGGGTCCCATCCAGCCACCCTCCACTGGAAGGAGCCTCACRCACTTCCTCACAGACACCCTGCTCTCCACAAATATTTAACTAAAATGCCTCCTCTTTGGCAAGCAGCCTCTGTCCTCAGGGTTTCAGGACTCACTCTGACAGCTGCTGCCTCCTGCCAAGGCAGCCAGATGCAGGGATGGAGCTGAGACACATGGGCTTTGCTGAAACACTCCTCCTAAGTGTCCCTCCAGACAGCAATGAAGAAACAAGCAAACAAAAGAGAGGTCAAAGGCTTAAAACACCATTTGATCCTCAATAAACTGCCTGGTCTTCCCCCTCACCCCATCTGATCTTCCATTTTTGTCACAGCAGGTTTGTAAATAACCCACCCTCCTCTGAAAATAGAGCCTGAGTTCTGGACATAGCTACCACATGAGCTGTGCAGAGAACAGATGCTTTGACAGTGCTGTCCTGCCCTCTGCAAACCAAGCAGAAAATCATGGGCAAACCTCTGACTCACATTTAAGAAAGGCTCATGATAGTCTATACAGGCCAGCAGCCGACTTACCTCCCTCTAACAACTCTCATGGCAATATTTGCATATTAGCATATTTAGTTTGGGGGCTTCTAATGGAAGGAAAGGAAGAGAATGCCCTTAAATGCACACAAGCATCAAGAACAGCTTCACATACCCTGGTAACCACACACCACAGACCCACATTTCTACAAGTTCCTATTTGCAAAGTCAGGTCTCCACCAAAAATGTCAAGCTTTCCAATTTCATCTGAAACACCCAGCCAAGCAGAGCATTAATACTATTTCCCCACTCCTACCTTCACTTTTAGTTTTCAAAAGAGATAGATACCAACAGAAAGGAAAAAAAAAAAAAAAAAAAAAAAAAAGGTAGCAAAGCTGCAAAAATACAGATGGGGTTGCAGGGCAGAAGGGGAGCAAGAAATCATCCCCCAAGGCAGAATCAGCTGGTAGACTCAGGTGTTGCTATTGCTGCTGTTATCGCTGTGCAGATGACAGGGCTATAAGAGGGGCCCTAATCTTGTGCCTTGCTATATGTCTTTATTGTATGAGAAGCCTGGCAGATCCTGCTCAGTGGAGTTCTCCCATGCAGGGGCTATATTTGCTTCTGCTTCCTGGCACCTGCTCAGGCTATAGGCTGCTCTGGTACTTTACACACAAAGGGCCCTCAGTGCAGAGCTGCTCTTTTCAGAGGACAAGCATCTTTCCTGATCTGACCCGTTGGCAGGACCTTGACAAGCTCCTCAGGTATGTAGATAATGCAGAAGGAACATGATGGAGGAGGGTCGTGGAGGCATAAAGCAGACAAACAGATGCAGATTGGAACTATGAAATTGAATTTTGTTGTTGTTATTGTTATATATTGAAGGGCCTTCAGCCAGTTATTGGCTGGATGTAGAGAGATGCTTTACCCCAGTTTTCATCAGCTCTTGTTAGCTGACATGTCTTGCAGAATGCAGCAAAAACCAAGGTTTTTCATCCAGAGCTTTGACACTAATTGAAATGAAACACTTTGCCAAATTTCAGACTGAAAAACAGTCTTGCTTGGGTTCGGAACAGTGATTCCGGAACTACTTCTTGTTACACTTCTTCATTAATCAGTGATGACAAGGTTTTCCTGTGTTGCAATTCCAGAAGGAGCAAGAAAACTGGAGACTGAGCCTATGTCATGTGTGCAGTAGTAGGCATCCTAATTCCTTCTGTGACAGACATTGATGTTAAAGAGGTCCTAAAAATGTCCTATGCACAGGTCCCATGTCAGAGTACTGCAAAGCACCCTGCCCAGGAGGGGCCCCAAACCTAAAGAGAAGCCTAAAGCTTTTCATTTCTAGTGGTAAATGATCTAGGCAGTGGGAGGAATCCAGCTATGACCTCACGGAAGAGTCCTGTGCCAGAGGAATGCTTGGCCAGGCTTTGGAGAGAGGTAAAATCCTCCAGAATGTTTCTGGTGTTTTGCTGAGCGGCAGATCCAGTAGTTTTCACAGTGGGATTGAGCCTCTGCTCTAACCAGCTGCTGCTGCAGGGTAGAGATGATTCCGCATCAGGACAAGGACTCTCCGTGGGAACCTCTGGCCTGACTGATTTATTGCAGCCTCCTGCTCACTCTCGGGACAACAAAATGGATTTGCTGGTCTCTAGGATTTCCTTGAAGCACTGTTACTGAGAGTCTGTGAACCTGAACTACTATGAAAGGGTTCAGAACATATTGTTACTGCTCTAGGCACAAAGTAGCAGAAGCATTTCCTTTGCCTGGAATTCAGAGTTGCTTTCTGCATAGTATTAGCCATGGAAATGCTAGCAGCCACCCCAATGTCTTTTCCAATTCACATTCCCGCAGCTAGAGATCCTGCTATAGAAGCACTCAGCACTTTTGTGGAGTGCAAAGCACTCAGCAAGCTACAAAGTGCTGAGCATTGATTGCAGAGGAGTCCAGACTGTGCATTATTTGTCTATCCCAAACACCCACAGACACACAGATGAGGACACCAGTATCACTGACCTGGGAGAGACTTTTATTTGATCCCACAGGTAAAAATTAAATAATTGTTTTTTGCACTAAACCCCTTTACTATGAAGCTGATAGCAATGCTGGGATGATGATTAAGTTTATGATCTCTGATAACCATGAGCTAAGGTATTGATTTTGGTGGAAATGAGGATGATTGTTACTCTAAAATTTGCTCTTCTCTTCACTTGTAGCAACAAGCTCTCCTCTCGGTTGCTGCTGTTTGGGTGAGAAAACCCCATAGACACATTGCACCTCTCAGTCACCAGATTTATGTGCCTAAAATTACGGCAGGAAGTTACAAGGAGATAGACCCTCCAGATAGGGACTGAGGTACATCCC